GTGCGCGCGCGTGTGTGTGTGCGTGAGAGAGAGAGAGAGAGAGAGAGAGAGAGAGAGAGAGAGAGAGAGAGAGAGAGAGTTAATAGAGAAATGTATAAATCATGATATATTAAGTTCAACGCACTCGCCGAATTAACGTTACACCTCTCGAAAATACCTTCTCTATCAATTTTCAAATGCTATTGTTTTATCAGTTACCAATGTGTTCGAGAGTTTAATCGACAGAGCACGTTGCTAACGACCGTTTCATAGCTCCTCTTTGTCAACTTATCCACTGAATCAAAATAAAATATCGTATAGGTGATAACGATCGGTAACGAGCGGTTCCGCTGTCCCGAGGCGCTCTTCCAGCCCTCGTTCCTGGGCATGGAGTCGAGCGGCATCCACGAGACGACCTACAATTCGATCATGAAGTGCGACGTGGACATACGCAAGGACCTCTACGCTAATTCCGTCCTCTCGGGCGGCACGACCATGTACCCGGGCATCGCCGATCGTATGCAGAAGGAAATAACGGCTCTCGCCCCCTCGACCATGAAGATCAAGATAATCGCACCTCCCGAGCGCAAGTATTCCGTATGGATAGGGGGATCGATTCTCGCCAGCCTCAGCACATTCCAACAAATGTGGATATCAAAGCAGGAATACGACGAATCTGGGCCCTCCATCGTGCACCGAAAATGCTTCTAGGCGCAAGACTCTTGTCAATATCCATCATAACAGTCTTATTTATGCTTCGTATAAAATCAATATATTTTATTTATTTATTTTTTTGTTTTGGCTTAAAAATAAGATGTTGTTTAAGCTGTATATCGTCATTACAACTGCTATGCTTCTCACCAAGTATTCTATCGTAACATTTTCAAAGATGACGATCGATGTTCTCATTCTATTTATTACATTTTATTGAATTTAATATTACCTATTTGTATGTATATGCCTACGTGTATAAAATATTATTTATTAGATATTATAAAACTGATTGAAATTTAGTTATATCTTATAGAAGATCATATGCATGCTTAGAAATTTCACCATATATATAACAACAAAAACAACAACAACAACGACGACGACGACGACGACGACGACGACGACGACGACGACGACGACGACGACGACGACGACGACGACGACGACGACGACGACGACGACGACGACGACGACGACGACGACGACGACGACGACGACGACGACGACGACGACGACGACGACGACGACGACGACGACGACGACGACGACGACGACGACGACGACGACGACGACGACGACGACGACGACGACGACGACGACGACGACGACGACGACGACGACGACGACGACGACGACGACGACGACGACGACGACGACGACGACGACGACGACGACGACGACGACGACGACGACGACGACGACGACGACGACGACGACGACGACGACGACGACGACGACGACGACGACGACGACGACGACGACGACGACGACGACGACGACGACGACGACGACGACGACGACGACGACGACGACGACGACGACGACGACGACGACGACGACGACGACGACGACGACGACGACGACGACGACGACGACGACGACGACGACGACGACGACGACGACGACGACGACGACGACGACGACGACGACGATGACGACAACAACAACAACAACAACAACAACAACAACAACAACAACAACAGTAATACGTAAATTCAATTAAGAATACGTTCTATCTATTTGTCAAATAATCATTATACGTATTTATGTGAACAATACTATTAAACGTAAAATTAATTCTCTAATTCAGGTTAAGAATGTTAAGCGTTTATAAAATGTGAATAAACTGGCTTATTATAATATAAAGTTATTTAATATTTAAAGTTAATGTTTTATCATATCCCTTAATATTTAAATTAAAAAAAAAAATATATATATATATATATATATATATATATGTAATTACATTGAATTCATATACTGATAGCACAATAATAATATATACGGGAAAAATGGTAATACTAATTAAATAATTACTAATCAATGGTATATAATGTGATCTGATGGGATATGTTGGTGTGTGAGTATGGATGTCTATCTATTTGCGTGCAGATCAATCTCACCTCTTTCTCCCTTTCTCTCGTGTACGTATGTGCAGAGAATATTCATGTGGGGAATATTCATAGTATTTACGTGAACATTCATTATTACATTTTACTTCCTACAATGGAAGTTTGTAAGAAGAAATATACTTTGATATCGTCTATTTCGATTAATGGGTGGATTAAAAGTCCGTTAAGTTTTGTATAGATAATAAATTCAAATATTTATAAACTTGCCTTAAACAATCAGTAGAGAATTTTCTATTGATCGACAATTTAGAAAGTGCAAAGTTTATATTTATTATATATGCCGATGGTGTGTAAACACGATAGAAAGATTATTGTTTCCGATATTGAACGGAATTTGCTGTTTTGAAGAGATATGAACATAAGGAATATTCTGTTTCTTCAAATTCTATGACATAATTAGCGTTAAAAAATAATGTTTATATCTCTAACATTAAACAGTTAAACGTAGATAAAATAGCTAAGGAATAATAGGACTTTTGGCATATTCATGGTTGCGCACTTATACGCGAGATTCGCAGATTCGAAGGACTGCCAGGATATTATATATTCACGGGAAGCAAGTGATTGATATTTAACATTCATTTATTCTCTAGGTTAAGTGATGAACACTTACGAATTCGCGCGATATTACGGCCAAAAAATCTTCAACTTTTGCTCGCATCAAAGAAGGCTCTGTTTCACCAAGTCTGTTCAACCAAATGGTAAATTCGTTAAACGTGCCCAAACGAATTCCATTGTGCTTGCAATATCGTTCGAGCCTTTTCGAATATCCTCTCGAACATTTTTCAATCCAATGCTTAAGCCTAAAATCAAACTTTATTTTTATTGACTGATATATATATATATATATATATATATATATAATGTATAGGCACTTTGGTGGTATATATTAAGGTTGGCAAAATTAATAAACGAGAGTGGGAACGTTGCTAAGTGCAAAGACCACGAGTTTCGGTCTTGCGAACTCTCTCTTCACTCTTAGGCAGTTTTGAAGTGCTAAGTAATGGCGCAAATATGTGCGAAGAGTCACGTTGAAGTTTAAGAATACGAGAAACTGTGTGAACTGTCATAATAATAAGAAAACTAGGAAGTCAGTTTGCTTTAAATCGTACATGGGGATTGTAAGTTATCAAAGTTATTCAGCAGTGTGTGTGCGTGTGTGTGCGAATAAAAAGATTTTTTACTTAGTAGCAATAGTTTGAAATCCAATAGTAAGTTATAATTTTGCAATAATAATTCAAAATAGAATTATCAAGTCTCATTTTATTTTCCCAATATCTGTTTAAGAAATTGTACTCATTAATATTTAAAAAAAGAAGTTTTAATATATATTTTTTATTTTGATTGGTTTTTATCCTAAGACATTATTGTGTGAAAACATTTTTGGAAGGTAATAAAAAAAAAAAAAAAAAAAAAAAAAAAAAAAAAAATGAAAAATGTTAAGTTAATTATTTTATTTACTCTACTTAAGAAATCAATTTAAGGATTAGGAATGTGTTTGTATGTGTAAATGTATTAAGTTACAGCTTTAATTATAACTTTAGTTATAACTTTAATATTATCTATACTGATTGAAAATGATTTTCAGATAGAAAATGTGGATACACATTGCTCCGCTCTCTTATTAAAATTATTATTCAAATATTGAATTACTTATTTTATGTTTATAATTTCTCATTGTACCTGCTGATCGATCATGCACTTTACACTTTAAATAGATAAATAGTGCTTCGCGTACTTCGAAGTACTCGCCTTCAAAAAAGTTGAAATACTTTGGTTTTTTCTTCATTTTAACAAGGACAGCATGCTATTTGCGAGAGAAATAAGTAACTGGATAAAAGACGATCCACTTTCAATTACCTTTGTGTCCGTTTTTTTTCTTATAACTATTCGGTAATTAAAATCATTAGTATCAAAGTTTTATACGCACATTATAAAGAATTTATTCATAAATATCAATAGGCTAATGATTTTATAAAATGTACATTTGTTATAAATGTATGTTACATACCGTATGTATAATGTTATAAATGTAAATTTATTCTAAATTGAGAGTGTATAGTATAATACACATACTGTTTTTGATATCATTTTATACATTACTGGGCATTGTGATTTTCTCCTGCTCACACGTCATTTTCCAATGTTTATTCGTTGATGAATTTTGTACGTCCAAGTCGGCCGTGTTAATGAATTTGGTAATCGGCTGGGCCAATCGTATTAAGATAATCGTTATTTTTGCGTAATATTGTTAATGCATTTTGTGCATATTTATTAATAATAGCTATTATAATAATATCACATTTCAATTTCAAAAGTCTTTTGAGCAATTGATTTCAAGTAAGTATTTAACTTAACCTATTTAACTTTATTACACTTAAAAAACATGAAAAGTTTAAATAAATTTGACAAGATTTAATATTAATTCAATTATCATGTATGCATTTAATAATAGATAATACAAAAAACTCAGAGTAAAAATGTTAATTTTTTATAGTAATCAAGATTTTTTAAATTATGTATGATTTTTTGAGGTTACTCAATATCAAGTTTTGTACATATTTTATTTTCTATAAATATGAAAGATCTTAGTTGTAATCATGATAAAATATAATGCCTTTGTTAAAATTTCTTAACGCTTATAATTTGTTATTTACTTGTAGAATGAACAATTCAATGGATCCACGTCGCCCTGATAGAGAAATTCGTTATAGGCCTTCGGTTGTTAATAACCAGGTTCAGTCTGGCGACGATGCGACACCCGACTACATGAATATCCTTGGCATGATTTTTAGTATGTGTGGTTTAATGATGCGGTTAAAGTGGTGCGCTTGGGTAGCGCTGTATTGTTCTTGCATCAGTTTCGCTAATTCAAGAGTTAGTGACGATACTAAGCAAATTTTAAGTAGTTTTATGTTGTCGATATCGGCAGTGGTTATGTCGTATCTACAAAATCCACAGCCAATGACGCCACCCTGGGCAAATGCAATGCAGTGAAATATTATGTACAAATTTTATATTTAAAAAACAATTTACAGTAAGACTTTTGTAAGTAAAATATATATAGTCAACATAATATTTAAATAACTGTATAATTGTAAATTTATATATGTAATTAACCAAACTGACATTAAAATAAGTACTTTTATTTTAATATTATAAAAATACAAGTTTAACAATTAAATAATTTATTGAATAAATAATTTTATAAAACTAATGTATCTTAATTTATGTTTTTATTTATATCTATTAGTATTATGCATAAATCATTGTAATGATTTGATTTGATAGTGCCAATCTTATAAGCTTTATAGCTACTCAATCATTAGGACTTAAAAAATTGTTCTTTGATTTATTTTTGTATTACTGGTTAAAAATAAAATTAACATATAAAGAGTATTACTTTTAAATATAAAATTTTGTTTCTTACGGATGGTTATAGTTATAATATACAGTATTTAATGCTTTAAAACGTTTGTCATATTTATCGTTGAATTTTTTTAGAAGATTGGTTGAAAAAATGTTACATAAAAAATTTAATTACCATATATTAAAAAAAATAAAATTTAATATAATGATAAAATGATTTCTATCGTAAAGAAGTAAATGCAACACAATTGACTAAGATATAGAACTAAGATATAAAGTATTTAAAGTGGTGTGAATTAATTTTAAAATTTATTATCGCAAACGTAAATAAAAATGTTAATCTATTTAATTCTGAATTTATGCATGAAATATGGATTTTATTAATGTGAATGTTGGCTTGATTTAAAAGTTTGCAGATGAAAAAATCTTTATCATGAAATACAGCTCATTTTCTTTAAAAATACGCAGAGCAATATTTATTTTAATCACAATTTATTTTTCACATAAAGTGTTGCGATGCATTTTCTAAAAAATGAAAGAAGATTAGAGATTTTGAGTGAGAGAAAATGAATATTTATTAAATAAAGTTTAATTCGAAATCGTAAGGTTTAACGTCAAAAGTCAAATAAAAAAATATTATGAAAGTTTCGACAATACTTTTCTTTTATATTACAATTGAATTATACCTATACTCGATAATAACATAACGGGCAACCATTTAAAATTATCGATAAATTTTTGATGCGAAGAACATAGTGGAGATGATGTGCGACTTGTCGCAGTGCAAATGTGTGCGTGCGCGTGTTAATGTCGTTCCTCACTCGCGCATAGAACGACGGTTAATAATAATACTAATTAGTTAATAATGGAGCACGGGAGTTGGAACGGCAGTTCGATCGTAATCGCTATACATAAAGGAATTGAGGGGGGGAGGGGGAGGGGGGGGGCACGAAGTCAATAATCAAGATCACCGTTATTACGGACATGGGACTCGGTGGGACCACGAAGGCGATTTCACATGGAGCCGCGAAAAATGTCGCTCGGGTTGATGATGCAGGAGGACGACTTAGCAACAGAAGCGTCGAAACAAATCCGATGGTTCCACGATCTTTGGCACGCTCAAAATCACGTAAATACAAGCTCATTAGTTATTTCTTATATTAAAGCTGAAAGGATTGGGATTTTTTAGCAGCGCGGATCGTGTCAATCGATCGATTAATCATTCGTGACGCTCGTGATATATGGACATTACGGCTAGTGGGGTAAAATCGAGAAGTATTCGAGATTTCTTTCTCTTATTCGACATCGATTGCACTATTAAATTATCGATTATCCTCCAAATATAAATACACGTTAACGAGAGAAATTCATCTTTTTAATTATATCAGATAAATAAATTAGATGATGATATTCGAGTATCGAAATTAATCGAATCAAATGATATATTATACCGAACCGTCTGCATGTCATATATATATATATATATATATATAGAGGACCTTTATATTTTGAAATCGTTGCAACGTAGGGTATTGGCATTTCTAAATATGTTTTTTTAATTACATAACATTTATAAGGTATTTTAATAATCCATTGGGATATTAAAAAAATTAGAAAATAAAAAAAAAACAAAAAAAACAATAGAGAGAAAAGAAACAAAAAAAGAAAGTTTTACATTCCTGATATTATGTTTAAATTTATTAAATCTTATGTTTTAGCTTGAGAAATCGACATACGAAGTATTTATTTTACCTTTTTACGTTAAATTAAAAATTAAAATAATTAAAAATAATTAAAAAAAATTAAAAATTAAAATTGTCAAATACCAAGGGATTCTTGGTATGCAGTCCGAATTCCTCGTATTGGCGTAATGTGTGATGGGCAGGAGGGTGGACGGGGCATTTCTGAGAATCATAACAAAGGATACAAATTTAAACGCTGCATTTATTTATTCGTGTAGACTGCGGGCTTGAAAAGAAGGGGTAGGAAGTGGCTAAGAAAGGTTACTCTCCATATCGATGAATCCGTGTTTCCATTAGCGCTTTTGTGGATCGTGATTGATAATTCGGTTCTAGCGCCATTTTTTGTTCGTCCTTGACTATTGTTTACGTTCGTTTCGTTCTCCGAAAATATTTTCATGCATTATTATTACACAACACACAACACACACACACACACACACACACACACACACACACACACACACACACACACATTTGCTACGTAATTGTACAATCTGTCCTGACAATTGTATAATATCATAAACTTCTGATTTCATTTGCATGCAATTCTATTCGATTCGCAATAATAAACGCGAAGTATAAACGCTATTATTACATGATTTACAAACACACCAATTAAGACATATTAATGGACTTTTTAAAAAGATTTTAAAAGTATAAGTCAAAATTTATCTTAAATATTGTATTACGTAACTAATATCATTACTATATGAGTGTGAAATTGTAATTGTTTCACACAACTACAATTCACATTTTAATCTAAGATATAGAATTAAAATTATAAGTATCCAATACGTAACAAATAAAATTTTTGGAATAATAATTATTGGCAATTTTTCAATAGAAAAAAAAAACAACGATGAAAACTCTTTTATACAAAAACTTTTTTTAAAGACTGAAGTATATTACATTTTTATTTTTTTATTTATTTTCACAAATTATATTTCTTACAAATTATTATCCCATCGCTTTTTTATTCAATATAATATGATGCTCTTAGATATCAATTAATACAACTGACACCTAATGATTTTTCGTATATAAATTTTAGTTGATTTTTATTAAATTCGTATTTCGCGTATTGGCGAGCGCTAGTAAGTAAATACTAAATCGTGATATTTTATGTATACTAAGCTATTCTACACTTGAATTCATTTAAATTCAAATTTATTATTAATAGTCACTTGTACTCCATGATCTGTAAGCACTTCAAATATTAATGTTTTTCTTTAACTTTGTTCTATAAATATAATTCACTGGACTACTTTTAATACTCTAACATTGATTTTTACAAGCTTTTTCAAGATTCCCATTTTATTAGAGCGAAGGTTCTATTTTATTTAATTCTATTTTATACATAAGTACATTGTCTCTTTATCTGATAAATATTGACTAGATTTTGAAAAAAGACACTTCTAATCGATCGAACGTACTTGGTGATTTAATAAATAAGGTTGCTTAATTCAACTACAAAGTCTCCTGAGCAAGTATCGCAGTTTATTGTTAGAATTTTTATTTCTTTTTAAAAGAATCATTAGAAAATTGATAATTTTATTTTTCAATAAATTTTTTAATTTATAATCTAGTTGCTCTAAGTATTAGTATTGAATAATTCATAAGGGAATTACATTTTTCATAAGAATTACGAAAATTTCAGTTTGATTTTATTTACATACGGGCAAAAATGCTTAAATTGAACAAATGACTAATATTAATTAGCGCGAATAAACTAATTACTGCATGACGTAATTATCTATTTAACTATCATAGGGAATAGAAAAATTACAACACTTGAATTACGTTATTATAAGACGATAGAAGTAAAACTTCATAATATAAATTATAAATACTAATATAGCTTAAATATGAGGTCTCTTAAAGTATTAAAATCAAATTATTATTTATAATTTCAATTAGTTGGGTAAAATAGTCATGTATATTGTAGTGTTAACGAAAATTGTAATTTCTCTACCAAAACTGTTACCGTAGTTATCAAAATAAACATATTTCAACATTATTAATAAACGTAATTATTTTCTAATAGTCGATTAAAAACATATTTGCACTCTAATGGTCCCGTTAGCGATTAAATATATTTAACCCTTTCAAGACTCATAGTATTATTTACTCTAAGGATTATGATTTTGAAACGATACAAAAAGACAAATAAGATTACAATTATATATTCGTATAATAATGGCAAATATTATGAGTACAGAATATTATGAGTTTAATATTTTGAGTTTTAATACATAATCAGTGTCATCGATCTCGGATATTTTAACTGTATAATATGTTGTAAATTTTTATTCATTAATATTTATAACCTTGAGACAATTAGATATTTAATATATTTAATCATTCGACTGATCGAACGATCAAACTAATATTTAAATTATAAATTTTAATTACATTTTTTTTTCTTTCTAAATCTCAAAAGTAAAAAAGTGAAAATCTAACGTTAATAGAGTCATTCGTATAATAGACAACCACCAAACATTATGACAACTCATTTAGTATTTTAAGTGAATTAAAAAAAGAGAAGAATATTTTAATTAAAACAAATTGTCGTTCTAGATGAAATGATGAAATTAAAATTACAAACACATTTTTATATTTACGCATATCAATATCATTATTAATCAACACATTTTTAACGATAAAATTATTTCAATTTAAATGAAAACATGTTTACATGTTAAATCTACATGAATTAAATTTACATGAAAACTAATAAAATCGGTTAGACAGTGAATTATTTATTCTTTAATAAATTCTCGAATTATTCTATTGAACGCGGCTCTTCCGCGTTGAAGAAAGTATAAATATAATGACGATTTGTTAAAAAAAATTGTGCATATATTAGTTGCGTTGATTTTCTATTCCATATAAAATATTAACTTTAATTGACAATGTAACTTTTAAAAGCGAGGCTTAGCTTATTTAATTAATAACATTAATTATTGTATTGATTTAGCGAGTCATTAAGAATGAAGTTGTGAAATTTATAAATATGTATTATTAAAATAATTAATGATTCATTATAATTTTAGTATGTCAATGGCCTCAATACTTGTAGAGATTACTTGGTGAGTCAAGTGTTTGATTAAAGTATAATCCAAATAATTTCAAGTGAAATAATAGCAAATTAGTAGTTGTTAAATTTAGTATTTGGTATATCATATATATAATTTTCGAAATTTTGTTTATAAATTTTGATCATCAGAGAGGATTGCAGCGTGGACGGCACATTTTGAGAGATAAATTAACATTAGCTTTATTATTAATTTAGAAAAAAAATATTATAACATAAATCATAAGAGATTGGTCATTGTAAATATTATAGAGTAATGAATTGATGAATTTCCCATTAAGTATAAATACACAATTTACGGATAAAGTACGCGGTTGTAGCTTCCGAATGACAACTATTAAACATGAATAATACTATACCGGAACAATGCAATAAAATAATCAGACGTACAAATTAGTCCTTAAGTTTTACCTTAAAAATGAAAAAAGGTGAAGTTTGTTTTATTGATTAAATCAAGAGATATAAATATAAATATGTAAATGTGTGGTGTGCAGTTTCCTTTAAGAAGGACCAATGAAATGATTTGAGTTTAGAATGCAGAGGGCACAGTGACGTCTGAGATATTTTTTTGCAACATTAAAATCATTGATTTGGATTGAAAAACAAAACAAAAAAATGTCTCATTATTTATCTATTTATCTATATATCTATCTTTATTGTTATGGATGTACATTATTAGCATTGCGACAATGTAGTATTGTTAACATTGTTGGTATACTATTGACTAGTCTGAATTGAATAGTTTACCTCATTGTTATTTACTGTAATTGAAATAAAACGCTTATATTGAAATACTCTAAGAGCCGATATTACCTTTTTTCTTTCTCTTACAGCCGTAATGACTAAATGCATGATAAATTTATTTAAAATTTTCTATGTGTTTAAACCTTCATTAACTATTAAAATAAATATGTACAGAATATTATATAGTTTAAAAATCTTTCTTTCAGTCCCTTTCAAATTATTTATGTATTATAGACACTTAAAATTCTTACCTTACGTATTAGCGACGTTTATACAAATTTTAATAATCGAATGATAATGCTATCGGCGAGACAATGTAATGTATCACTTAGTTATGCATATATATGTATATATATATATATATATATATATATATATATATATATATATATATACAAAATTCGCGTAAAGATCGTACATGTTCGAGTAAGACAAATATTTAAAATCGTCTGAAAATACAAAGCGGTAGTGTAGACACGTTTGATGGCGGGATCGGGTCCGGGGGAGGGGGAGGGCGCTCTTAATCGCGATTGTTCTTAATAAAAAGCCGTGGAACGCATGAAGCAGCGCGTGTACCAGTGAGGTTAGCGACTAGAATTAGGTGGGCCCGGGGCCTCAGACGCTGCTCTCCCCGCGGCCGAGCATCGTGATCGGGTAAACGTACTTCTTGCGCTTGGCGTTGAAGAAGGGCTGGTTGGGGTGGTGTTGCTGGCCGAGGTGTTGCTGCGTGGGCGAGAGTCCACGTAGGAGCGGCAGGGAGACGTCGCTGCGGGCCAACTCGAGCTTGTTCCGCTTCCACTCGGCCCCGAGGTCCGTCGCCGGTGCCATCAGGCTCTTGCATTCCGGGGAGCTGCGTACACTTAGGAAGACGTCGCTACTGCTGCTGGGGCGGCAACCGGCTTTGGTGAGCTCCCTCGGTGCCTGTGGGACAGAATGTTAGTAATGACGTCTGACTAGGCCCCTATTCGCGCTGACTTGGGCCCGCTGCCGTCGCGAATTAGGGGTGAGAGAGAGAGAGAGAGAGAGAGAGAGAGAGAGAGAGAGAGAATGACGGGGAAGGATCGAGGATCGAGTGGGTGCCCGGGTGATTTTTTATCAGATTCTTATCAGTGACGTAAAGTAGCGGATGATGGGCTTTTGAGTAGATAATGATAAAGTTGTCGGGACGACCGATCGATCCCATTGGCGAGTCACTAAAAAATTAATTATAAAAAGCTTCATCATCCAGAGCGGTGTGGCGAATTTTTCTTATTTATTATTGACGGTAATTTTGTTCTCCACATTCTGTCCTTTTATAATCAATCAAATCGTTTATTCGGCTTTAATAAAATTCTCTACAAATATGCTGATGAATTTTTGAAGCGGCATTATCTTACGTATGAACTTTTTTCCTGGATTGTAATTTTCGTTCATCATCGTATTAAAATTGCGCGTGTATTAAATTTTGTAATCTATATGAAGGGAAAGTGTAAGGGATGTATCGAAGAATACAGGGAATATTAAAACTCTGCTTTCTGACACTGACAGGTAGTGCAGACGCAAAAAAAAATTTTATCAATATGTATACTAACCTATTACGTTCCTCTTTCATTCATTTCGAAGTCTTAAGAATTAGTTATTTCTTAATATCGAACGATAGTACATTGATAATTATTTTTCATTTTTGTGATAAAAATATTGATTGAAAGCGAGTAGTTAAGTAAGAGAAAGATGTATTAGCAAACGAAGAGTCTTGGGACTAATGTTCAAGCTATAGCGATTCTAGCGAAATTAACCAAAGTGTTTTTGCATTTAAGAAGTATTATTGAAATAAAAATATTAGACAGCGTTAATGATACTTTCAAATGCGTGGTAATTCTTATTGCTTCCGTTAACAATAAATATTTAAGACGAGAAAGCTCTTGTAAAAAGAGATTGAATAATCATAGTAATGATGAACGAATTACGAAAGTAATCATATTGTTTAAGCAAGGTTTTCGATAAATAAAGAAAAGCTCAACTAACACTATTGGCATATTATTGTTTAATGTATAAAAATTCAAAGCACGAAAATTAGTTTAACGAGTTCGATAGACTAAGTAATACAAAGTAGAAGGCGAAAGATCAGTGCAAAATTACAAAAATAAACTATCTTTTGATATTTGGAATCTCAGTATTGAATGCAACATTTTTATTCTTAAACTTTTAAATAATGAGCTTCCTGTAAATATATTTGGCGAAGGTTATTTTACAATCTTATTATTATAAGAAAATGTGATTAACGAGTTATATTGACAAGCAAACAATTAAAGAATATTCTTTGAAAATGTTCAAATATTGTAAAATTTTTAAAAACCTCTTTCGTTTCTCTCACCGTAACAATTCAAATGGAAAAATAATTAAAAATACAGAGTTCCTTGGATTAATCAAGTATAAACGAGCGATTTGTTCATTATTAATTTGATTCTACGAGGCAAATTTTCCTAACTAATATTAATTACACTCTATCTTTTATAAAGGATAATATGGATTTTATGACGTTTAATAAGTGAGAAAAGTATGTGCAAGCTAAATAATTTTTATTTCCTTAGAAATAATTTCGCTCGAAATTAATGTCTCAAGTTTCATAATTTTCTTCTTATAAATTAAAATTTTCGAGCGTTTTACTTCATATTCCGCTCGAACGCACACTTCAACGTAAAAGTAATACGATACATCGTAAGAATCGAATTTTACAATTCCAACGTTTTTCCAAAGAAAAATAAAAACATTACGTGCACGAGAGCAAACGTTACCTTGTTAAGACTGAAGTCAAGGCTCGAGCCGTTCGTATCATTATCCTCTTCGGGGAAATCGATTTTCACGCGATGACATATTCTGAATGACTGAGAGGATGCGAAGGGCGACGAATTATCCGATACATCGTCCCTGCAGCAGGCGGCCATGCACACCCGGTGTTCTCTGCGTGCAAATAACACAAGCGAGCGTAATAGCCCGTTTATGGATATTAATAGGCAAATTTCTTTTTTTTCTTTTTTTCTTCATCCCACTCCCCTCAACCTTCCCTCTCCCTGCCCCTCCTCCTTCCCGACGTTAGCGCAGATACTCGATTTTGCCGTTAAATATCAACCGACGTTATACTCAGGAGCAAAAGGATTTTAAAAACGATGAATTACGACCTTAAGTAGTTTACGGATACGGCTCGAAATGCTAGAATTTCATCAGCAAACGATAATATTTCAGAGTCTGATTAAATTCCCAATACTATTAATATTATGCGATAGTGATTTGCGTTCATCTATTACTAAGCTGGATTTGGTAAGTAGTTGTATGCGATTGTCGTCGTAAGAATTTATAGAAAAGTAGATTTTTAATAGCGCGAAATATAAATGAAAAGCCGAATGATATAACGAATCTGATTTAATATCAATGCATCATCGAGTCGTGACATCCCGAAGGAATATTTTATATTTGCAAGCTTGATGTTCGCTTGGAAATTTTCTCATCCTCTCACATTCACGAGACATCGGTAAAAAACAAACAATAAAAAAACAAAATAATAAAAAAACAAAGAAACAAAAAAAAACAAAAAAACAAAAAACAAAAAAAAAAACAGCTGCAAATAAGAATCTAAATTTGTATTTGTAGTCAAAATATAATGTAATCTTAATACAAATTCGTATATTTTCATTTAGATATTTATATTATACGATTGATCACGATATACCAAACGCATTTTAATCTTTTAATTAAATATCAAACTAAATAGTAGCGAGTAACGGGCATGTAATGTTCCATAATATTTTAATTATAGAGCACAAAATGCGATCCCTTTAAAATAATTCCACGTATAATTAAAGCTAAAAGCGATATTTATTTGTCGCTTTAATTACATTTCAAGAACGACATTCAGGCCCGTAAGTGCCCGTTCGGCAATATTCTCACGCGTTCATTCATTCGTATGGGAATGTCGCAATGGTCGTTCGTTAAATCCAAGCCCTCGCCTATGTCAAAAGCCAAAGCCGTGTTGTACAAGTAGCGTAGACAGCCCTTACCTGCCAACCAAAACCGAGTCCTTTCTCTTGGGCACAGGTGGAGGTAGTCCTTGGGCAAGGCTTTTGGCACATCCGTAGCTGACCTCACTGTTAACGGCGCTGTTGCTATTGTTGCTATTGTTGCTATTGCTGCCACTACTGGCGATGCTAGCAGCCGTCGATCGTCGCTCGGAGCCTAAATAGTAGTTCTTCGTGGCGAGCATGGCGAAGTGCAAGTTATTCTTGAGGTCGTCAGCGGCCTTGGAGAGGTTGCCGGTTATCTTGAGAGTGCGTCGCATCATCGGCCGGTGACAGGTCGGCAACGGAGACGATGGATTGCTATTCGAGGCCTCGGACAGGCTCTCCGGGGTGGCCAGCGGTGCCAACTGGCCAAAGCTACCCCAGCTTGGACCTGGGCAGGACCTGCTCGTGATTTTGTTGGGAGAAACGTCATTAGAATGGACGTGGATGTGTTGTGTGCTTTTGCTTTCTGCAGTGGCGAGTTCTCGCGGCTTCTTTATCCGCCATTAGCAAATTGGTCATTACATTTTTATTCGTCGTACGTAAAATTATTTCAGTGCGCATTTCGAAAATTAATAATCTATTTTTGCTTTTATACATTGGTTATTATTTCATATTTGTTTCGTTATACCAATCTTATGCTTGCAGTGGCTTTATATTTGTAAAACACAGAGCCTTCAATGTCGAAGAAAAACTCGTTAAAATTATGTGATTATAAGAACGAATTATAATAAAGAAATAAGGAACAGTGATTTTTCAAGCTTATCTTATTCCCTTTTGATAATTATCTGAATTATCGTAGGTATGTGCTTAAAGCATTTAACGAAATTCAATAAATGATAAATTACATTTCATAAATGTCACAACTATATTTTATTGTATGGATAAATATGGCCGGCCAATTTAATTTATTTATATTTAGAGTTAGCATTTTAATTTTCAATTAAAATCTGATATTATTATTGACTGTGGCCGAAAATTGGAACGATATCTATAAGTGTCGTGCTACGTTTCAATTAAAGATTTCAATCTGCTGATTGACAATGCTAATAGCGCAATTCATTTTATTCGATTCTCTTCTATTATTGCTTATAACTTTAGATTTTACTTTCATTAATTAGTGTATTGAAAATTATATAAAAAGACTCTCCTTCTCTGTTCAATATATTTTATTATTCTTCTGCTGAGAATTAATATATCATAGCTTGTTGTCCGATTAATCATTAGTCGCTCTTTGAATACAGCAACTTACAATTATTATTTGATGTCAGGACAAGTGACTATTATTATTAAACAACATATTGTAATTTATATAGTTTTAATTGGAAATATCGTAGGATAAATATACAAATTGCTCAATTATATTATTAGGAAGTATTTACACGTGACATAACATACGATTTTATCTGGTACATATTTTTAAACAGATGGGTTTTCTCAACTTTGACTATTTGTTTGAACGAATGTATATCATGTAAAAAAAAAAAAAAAAATAAAAAAAAAAATAAAATAAAATAAAAATGTGCCTTACAGAGAAACAAAAATTTTATCCACATACATGATCATGAATTATATGATTATATTGCAATATAAGCTAATTAGAAATATATATATATATATATATATATATATATATATATATATATATACACAATATGTTATTTACATATGATTAAATTAATTTAAAATGAAGATCTATATTGTGTGATAATTATAAATTGCAAATTGATTCCTATAATATTAATAATGGCATGAGTGTAAAAGTATTAAAAATAATGATTGAATTCAAGGAATGTACATATTCTACTTGGTAAATACAATGCGAATGTAACACGTAATTTAATATAACAAGACAAGTAAGTCCACGGAAAAATTATGTATAAAAATTATGTTTCTGTCTAAAAATATTTTTAATGAAACATACAGTTTATTTATTAATTTACTGTTTAAAATTTAAGTGAAAATTATTCAAGCAAAAAAATAAATAGTGTATTCTTGATTTCATTCGATTGGTCTGTCGGGAGATAATATATGTGTGCATACATATGTATATATGTATATATATATATATATATATATATATATAGAAATGCGTGTACGTGCGTGCATCTTTGCGTGCTTGTGTGTATTTGTCGATTTGTTGGTTTGTCATTTCAGATGAATGCTTGCTTTATTAGAAAATTAGGGCGGCTTTGTAAAGCGCTGCATGAAAAGCTCAAGAATCGCGCAATTGTCGCCAAGCACAAGACTCTTTACTATCGCTGATTTAACCGGTCCATTGTGCTTGCAGTGTCGAAATTCAGGTCGCGTTAAATCGAGCGACGAGAGCTCGTTCTGGATGGCTAGGCAATATAAAAATTCCGTGCCAAGAGAGGCATTGCGATAATCAGAAAGTATCCCCCGGTTACGATAGGTCGTATGGCGCATTGGACAAATGTTAAAGAAGATTCGATCGCCTCGAGATGATCTTACGATTTGAGTATGTCGGAGGGTTGTAGGGGTGAGGCGAGGATCTCGCTGGCCAAGCTGACGTACTCCCAGGGCAGGCCGTGCGAGTCGACGCTCAGCTCCCGTCCGATCTGGGGATAATTGTCCGTGAGTGGGCTCTGGAGGCTGGTGAAGCTCGTCTCGAGGCAGAGGCGCCGTCGGGTGGGGATGAGATCGTCGCTGGCCGCGTGTACACGCGGTATCGCCAGGGTCTGCATTATCCTAGGCCGGCTGGGCACAGGGCTCGAGGAGGCGAGGAGCGAGTGCATCTCCTGCTCGAGCTCGAGTTCGGCGCAGTTGTGGAGGATGGTCGTGCCTACACGGCAATCCGAGGCCGAGGAGGCGCGACCCGAGACGTGCCGTTGCGGTTTCGCTGGGCCTAGTGTTGTTACGACCTGGACTCACACATACACACACGACCGCTCTCATGTACATCAGTGCATTTCGATATTGCGATATTATTGGCGGTGGTGGTGGGGGAGTGTGTGTGTGCGTGTGCGTGCGCGTGTGTGTGCGCGCGTGTGTGTGTGTTGGGGGGTGGGGGGGGGGTGGCGGCGAGGCTGGCATTGTCTTAGTTTGAGGGTCATTAAGTTATGAGGAGAATGGCGAGGATTGGGGCGAGGACTTTTCTCAAAGCCGACTTGCCTTTATCGGGACTTTATCGGCATCCTCCTTCATTCTATCTGTACGGAGGTACTTGCCAATACTCCAAGAGCTACTTTTATGTAAAGTTCGTGTTTGATATATGTAGTATTATTGAGACAAGTGCACGTAGATAGAGCATTTAATAACTTTATCCCATTGGTCTATATATTCGAATGAGCAGTGAATGATTAATATAATCCAATTCTTATTCTTCCTTCCTAATTCTTTGATCAAATTAAGAAAGCTTGCACGAGGCGTATAATTTATCGAAAACAATCCAACGTCGCACGAGTCCTCGTGATTTATTAATATATATATTCGCACTATGAAATGAAATGAAAAAAAAAGAAAAAAAAAGATTTAGCCGTTCATTTAATTTAAACTACTAAACTATATTTATATACCAGCTCTATAATATAATAATTAAAAGAAACCGTAAAATATTAATTTGGTGTTAACGTAAATATGTTAATTCTTGAAAATTTATGTAACTAAATTTAATTTAACTTTAGAATGAATTTTATTTATGCCATATTCAATTATTAGCAAATTTTTATATAATGCTATGTTAACATATTTAAAGTTGTTAATAATAACTGATATAAACTTACCTATTTATTTTATAATTATATTTTAAAGAAGCAAATTTTATTTCATAAAAGTCGAATTATTTTCCACTTCGGTATAAGCATTTATAAAGCAACCCTCATTATTATTTTCATTAAAAAGTTTTAGTTTATTTTATCATATTTTTGGTGTCACACTATCATATCCAATGTACAATAAGTCTAAATATTACCGATCAAATAAATATTGAAGAAATGAGTTTTTAATCAAACGTCAGTATGCAATGCTTAAAGAATATAATCGGACCTGCTTTAAACGGATTTTCTACCGAATAAGCCATTTAATTTTTTAAAACGCCTCCTGTTCTATGAAATCAAATGAAATATTCTATCATAGTATTATATTAACGAGACATATTTGATCTTATTATTACATTTATGTTTTTTCTAATAGCTTAAATATTAAGGATTTATGATAAGCTGAAATTTAAAGCACGTCAGATGATGTAATGTTAGGCTATTATAGTAAGATACCTTCGAAAATATTTAATAAATCGTACTAAAATCAATGATTTAAAAAAATAACGAATATTTCCTTGTAATCGAACAAAATTTCTATACTTGTTATTTAATTTAAAATTTTTTAAACATAAATAATATATAACAAATATGCATTATTATTGCAAAGTGCAGTACTTTATAATTCTCCTTAATAATTCTGCATATTTCTATAATTTTCAACCTCTAGGTAATAAATGTCTTTTTGGCTATATATATTATGATAAACTTCGAAAGCTAAATCGAATTATTGGTAAAAGGAAAATCATTAATGATATTATTTATTTAATAAGAAAAATCTTTTACCAATTAGGCTTATTTGTAAATAAGATAACGTAGATGATTTCATTTCTTACATTCATTTGACTTAAGGGAATTGGATTAATAAAAAATGTATTATAAATATTAATAAATTACTCTATGTCATTCCAATCATTATTGATAATATAGTTGATGAAAGTAGAGAAATTGAAATAAAATTTTTCATAATTAATTTTTAAATTTAAAATAATTTTACAAAATTTAATTAAATATCTGTTGCATTAATAATTACAAAATTAATTCATCACTTTCGTTTTAGATGAGCTATATTATATAGAATAGTAATTTAGTTATCAGTTTCGAAATAAAAATTAAATTTTAATATAAATGATGATTTATGATTTGCAAAGTAGGTTTATGAGATTTTGAGAATATAAATTTTTGTCAAAATGAATGATTTTCTAACAACGTGAAATAAAATATTTCTTAAATATATGGTTGCCAATAAAGTTATAATAAAATATATATTTTCAATTTCTTTCTCATCGTAGCATATATTCAATTTTGAGTATTTCTGTTATATTTCGAAAATTTAAAACCCATTTGCAATGTTATAAATCAAATAAAGGAAAATTCGTTATTTTTATAAATATCGAAAATCGAAAGTGGCATATTTTATGTTGTAAGATTTTTGAAAATGAGATTAGTTTCATAACCAATGATCACATTTTAAAATCAAATAATAATAATGCAACACTTGAAATGTAATTGATATTTCATTTTAGATTTGTTTTTTTTTTTTATAATTCATTTAATATTTCTATAAATGAGAATAAAATATCAATTAAAGATTTATTTCACTGTTAATAATATTTTTAAATAAGATTTCATAAGATTCTTAAGTTTGTGTTATTAAAGTTTTGAAAGTTCAATAATTACAGAAATAAGCATAAGCGAAGATATTTAAAAATTTGTAGAATACTTTAAGCTGCAGAAAAATTGAAAGCTCGCTTACGTAATTTTATTGGCAACTTGGATCGATCAAATAATGAAGTAGAATATCTAAGTTTCAAAATGATTTAATAAATAATTGCTTTGACATATTTAAATACCAAAACTGTAATATTTTATCTTTGAGCGTTATTTTCAGAGTAGCTTTATTATTGTTAATTCAAATAAATTTATAAATATTTATTTATATTTAAAAAGTTGCAATGAAAAAATTGAAAGGCATATTTATGTCTAATATATATTAATACGTTATTTATTCGAGTTAATTCATTGTTTTTATTCGAAATTTTTTAATACTACTTCAAGATCTGAAAATAATCATTAATAAAATTTGTTCATTACTTAACAAATAGTGCTATGATTAAAATATAAAATACAATGATTGATAGGATGACGAATGATAAGACAATTTTCAAGACATTTTGATCAAATATACCTTAACCGCAATTACATCATTGGAAACAATGTCGTTTAAAACCACTACTAATAATGACAATTAATTAGTATATTAATAGATAATATTTTACATTAATAATATTGTCTAAAATATACCACTACATATTAAATAGATATAACTCCTTCTTTTTTTTTTTTGTTTAAAAGCTTAACACAATTTGCACACAGTTACATGACAGTAATTGCAAAATATTCATGCATCTATCTATCTACGATTCGGATGAGCATGCAAAATTCTTAAACATTCAAAACTATTTCTTAAATAATAATGAAACTTTTCTACTTAAGCGATATCTAGGCGAAATTGATTTACTTGTTGTGTAAAGATGAACGAGTTTTGTATGATGCTGAAATAGAAAAAGTGCTGTGCAATGAAGTTGAAACATTAAAAATATATATGTAAAAAAAAAAAAAAAAAAAAAAAAAAAAAAAATGCAGTGCTGATATAAAGTTCATGGCGTGCTAATTTTGATTTTGAAAGATTAATAGAAGTTTTTCATTGATACGGTATTCCGATATTACACGTAGCTTACTAAAAATAAGAATGCAAACTTATTTTTTCATATCTTGATTCTAAATACATGGATTATTATAATAATTGTATGTGTTTTGTGTAAATAAGCTTAAACTTTTGCTGAGTTTTTCTAATTTTGCGACTTTTAACACGATCGTCATATAGATCTAAAAGAACTTGATTTTTTTTTTTTTTTTAACTTTAAAGCTTGTAAACCTAATGTTTTCTCGCAAACATAAAAATTTATATTCTTCATGGATTTATGAAATGTTATATATTTGTAATCAGAAGATATCCGAAATTTACGAAATTTTCAATACACGGCGATCTGTTATAATAAATACTCTTTTATAATTGACTTAATAATTGAATTAATAATTCTACATAAGATGAAGAAGTTAGATTATATTTAAAGAATATTTATGTATAAATAAAGAAGATGCACGAATTAAATAGAGACTTGCTCGTGGATTGGAAAAAAATAAGATAATCTTCGTCAACATGATCAATCGCTTAAAAATCACGTTGTCGTCACGAAGATTTATGTATCAAAGCGATAAAGAAATATAGATAGAAATGTGATTAACACGTTAAAAAGTACTTCGAGTTACGCCTCTGTGCTCGCAAATGCTTGCGAGTTATGGAAGCGCTCGCATAACTTAAACATCCGACAGGCTGTAATAATAAAATTTATATGCATAATAAAAGGCAATAGGAATCGTGGTTTGATGTACCTTATGTCTGGCAAATCGGAGCGGATGTCGCTTTCCGGGAATCCGTCTACGGTCTTGGCAACCGGCGTCGTTTGGAGCGCCGCGACGTCCAGTGCCGACGTAGAGATCGTTGTCGTCGCTGCCGTCGCAGTGATTGCATTATACTCCGCGATTACATCCTTGCACTCCGACACCTGTTCGTTACACATACACCAGGCACTTCCGTTCAGACGCTTTCTAGCTCATCAAAGTGCCTATCCAATCAAGTTTTTCCACTTTGATTAAAGCATTATGGTCCATTGTGGGTGAGTAGTAGAGGCTTTGGCCGCTCAGGGCGATATTTGCCACGCGGAACAATTTTTATAATTTTTTTTTATAATTTACGTAATTGTTGCAATTTGTTACAAAAAAAAAAAAAAAAAAAAAAAAAAAAAAAAAAGTGACGGATGGCCACAAGTTATTTTCTATATGTATAATATTAAGGGGAATACGCGGTCGTTTCGATTAGAATAAAAACGTAGTTTTATTTGTTATTTTTTTTTTTTTTGTATTGAATTTAGTTATGTGAAAAAGCATACCATGAAAGTCTCTGAAAATACGTTTCAAACAATCGTATAATTTACACACCGTGTACGCACATGTACAAACGCCAAATTATAACTTAGATAAAACTAAACACAAAAATATGGCCTTTAAAATTTATGAGTTATGTATTTTTTTTTTTTTTTTATGGAAACACGTGAACGTTTCGTCACTATTGCTTAACTTTCTTACGATAATGGTATATTTTGTATATTTTGTATATTTTGTATATTTTGTATATTTTCTATATTTTCTATATTTCGTATATTTTGTATATTTTGTATATTTTGTAATATTTTCAAATACATTCAAGTCTCAGTTGGAATGATAGGATGCGCGAGTGAGAGAGGAAAAGTTTTGAGCAATTGGCGCTTGAACACTAATTTACAATGTAAAAATTTGCTCCATTATATAATTTTTTTATGTTTAGAAAGAGTCGTTATATTGTAAACTATGATAAAACGAGTTCATTTTACGAATGCCTACTCCCCTTAACTGTATTTTCTATATAATAAGAGTTTTCACATTTATTTCCTCTTGTTAATGTAGTTAATTTTTAATCAAAAGTGACTAGTGACTAACTTGATTAGATATTGATAAATGGTGAAACTATTATATATTTTGTTATTAAATGCACGTTGATTTACATTTCTATTTGTATTTTATAAAATTCCGTAAGCTAAGTGCATTAATCGGCAGTATAGAACAAGTATCCAACTTAGTATTAAAAAAAATATCCAAATTTTCTTTATTTATGAATAATATTTTTGAGAAAAAAAAAAACAATATATATTGTAGTCATGCTCTTTATTCGTAAGATTAGCTACAAAATTATTTTATAAATAAAACGATCTTTGGATGTAATTGTTTTTATCATTTCTTTAAACAAATGTTACTGAATTGAATATAATTTTTTTTAATTGTTGTTATTAAAGTTTGCTTGTCGTCACTATACTGTAAAATAATTTCTGATTAAGAAAATATTAGTTGATGCTTGAACGTTGAAACTATTCTCAAGCTTATTTTACAATTAGATATGAATGCTATAAGTATTCAGTTAAAACATAATTAAAATAATCTCTAGAAAATTTATGCTGTAATTCATTAAAAAAATTTTCATATTGGCAACCATAAAAGCTTATTTTACATGTTAAGTATAAAATTAATATCCTAGTTCGTCAATGTAAATTTTTAATTCAAATAAATAAATATGATTAAATTAATGTTATTTCATTAATAATAATACAGCTTCTTATGTAAACAGTAATTAATGTTAATGTCATACTTATTATTAAAAAAAAAAATTGTTTTTAGTTATATAAAAAAAGTATTAAAATGAGGTAGCATCATTATTAAGGAAATACACTAAAAATATATTTATCCCTGCATGGACACACCCATGTATATGTGCAAATGTATTCTGTATGCTGATATTAATATCTAGTCATATTATGCATATATTTTCGTTTTTATGAAAGAAAAATCTGATACTTATTTATATATTTTAATAAGTATTTAAGATTAATTTCCGTTCAGTTATCGACTATTCGAAAAAATTCTCAATAAGATTTTAAAAATATATTGCAAATACTATCAGCGCATGCTATCATCATTTTTCTAGCCAGAATTTCCGAAAAGCATAGTATATATAATGTAGGTATCTAATATATCGCTCTAATTTATTAATTTAAAAAAATACTGAACAAATACATTATACATAATTACATTTGCTATTTAAATGTCTAAAATCTAATATACTCTATATGATAATCTATATTTCTTAATTCCGATAAAATAGAGAATTTACCTTACTCAATCTACATTGTGACATCCATATAAAATAAGAATAAAAATGAAAAATATAATATTTAAAAATATTACGGGTAAAAATGGAAGTTAGGGAATAGGAATTTGTAAAAGAAATGAAATTACTACGTTAGTGTTATGATTAAAGAATGTGTATTCTCGCTAATAATATTTAGCTTATACATATTAAATTATACAATAATATATTATGAAGATGTGCTGACTGAATAAAATAAAATTGAAAAATATTTATTTTATAGATCAGCAACGCGCAAATTGATAAAGATCTATGAATTTCAACGATCACTTAAATAATTTAGTTGTTACGAGAGTCGATTCTATTTCAAAATTATATACAATTCTTAATTTAAAATACGTATTATCTAAATTTTTATTATTTATAAATAATTACACTTTATTATAATATTATTTAAAAAAAAAAAAAAAATTCAACATTATCTTTACAGTGCTAAATTGTAATTTATACTAATTCAGTTCTTATATGAATATGTAGTGAATTTCGATTTTACAAATGGATTTACTATTAATAAATAGTACTAATAAACAGTACTAATAAACAGTATTAATAAACAATAAAAGTAAAGATAAACTTTACAGAATGATTTACAGAATACACGATTATAATATGAATTTATTTCACTACTGACAAAATAAATATAATTCTATGAATTACGATTCAACTTAAATACGTATATATTACCACAGATGTCTAAATCTCTACAAATCATGCGATATTCTTACTTCAGGATCATGCAACTTATTATATACATATATCCGTGTCTGATTAAATATCAACTTATAGTTTCTTTCTTTATTTATTCATTTTTTTTCTTAATAACAAGTATTATAAATGGAAGAAAATACTTTAGCTTTTAAAAAAATAAAAAATAATTATTACATTTAAAATACAATTTAAAAAATCATGAAAAATACGTATTTTCTTTCTTTCTTGGAATTACATTAGAAAAATAACTTATGTTAAAAGTTTTATTCTTTCGAAATTTATTGCGATTCAAAAGATATTATGTTTCTGAAGTGTTTTGTATGTTTTTCTTATATATAAATAAATTAATAGTGATTATAATGTCTAAATGTACGTATTTGACCGATATGACTTTCATTTATTTATATTATATATAAATAAAAATATAATAACAAAGGTGTAAGCTGGTAAATAGTGACGACTGAATAATATATGGTCTGTTGTATATGTAGAAGCATCTATATTCTAAAACATTCGAACAGCTCGTTCCAATTAAATTATTGTATAACCTACACTTGCAGAAGTATGTGGACTTTTCACTATTCATGGGAGGTATATAATTCATAATTATAAAATAAATTTTTTTTATAAATTTTAGTAATATACATAAATATTCCCAAATACATTGATAAAATCACATATTTATTTTATGAAAAGACAATGCAGGTCTATATAAAGAGATAAAAAATAAATATGTATATATATATATATATATATATATATATATATATATATATACACATACATACACGCGCATGTAATTCAAGTAAATAAATTATGTATATTACGATGAACACACCACTCAACAGACAATTAACAAAAATGTCTTGTACTAGCAAAGTCATAAATTCATTCGAAATCCATTTGCATGTATTTAAAAGAATAATTTTAATAATAACATAATAGTAATATTTAAATTGTAAATTCGTATCATCTAATTGATTTACTTATAAGCTGTTAAACAAGAATTAATCAGTCAAGAATCAAAAGAATGGAAATGGCAAAAAAATTTACCTTTATATAAAATATTTATATAATTTAAAACTGTAAATTATATATATATATATACTTATGTTTAATACACAAAAAGAAAGAAAGAAAAAAATCAATGTTGAATGCAGTCTTGGCAGTTGGATGGATTTAAACACATTTCGTTTACTATAATTTTCGATCAAGAGTGGAAAATATTCAGTATTGGAAAGATATAAGATTATTGAAATAAATAATAAATAGTAAAATTTTCATTGAAATCCCAATGACTAGAATATCTGTATAGCTCATTGTTGTGCAACTTTAAACTTTTTTTACGTTTTACATCAATTTATATTATTACTTAGATTTAATAAAAGAAGTAGTTTTAAGTACTTTTAAGAAATTGTAGAAATCTTGATAACAATTACTTATAAATATCGATATACAGTCGAATGCATTTATCTTGATTGAATGATGAGGAAAATATGGTTTCAGATTTATACGGAAGAATGCCCGCATCATTTCACGCAAATCTTTTCTAAACCCATCGATAATATCTATTAACAATAAAATTCTATATTAATAATAATTAAATGTAATTTTATCACGATGTTTTATCTAGTTGAATAATTCATGTACTCTAGTTGGAAAGATTAATTGGAAATGTAAAGAAACTGAAGGTTGAATTAGGTCACGAAAAATCCTTGTAAAGATTGCAACAGTACCGAAACATCGTATGGTTTTTTTTAGAATTTTGTAAAAAAAAAAAAATAAATAAATTGACGCATCGCTTATTAAATGAATAATGTCGAGCCAGAACCAACAATTTAAGCATTAATTGTTATCGTATGTATTAGACTCTTGGAATCAACAGTTGCAATCAATAAAGAACAATGAGCGAACGTTGCGTTCATGTGCATTTAAGTAATAAGTCTAATGGCACCAGTGCGGACCGATCGCTGGACAATTTAGTTACTTTGACAAGCCAATACTTATGCAATTATCAATAATCGTCATCGCAACAAGATACATGAACCTCGGGGCCCTATGTACAACAAATTACGTCGCGTCTCACGAGCGCGTCAGTATCTCGTTCCTCTGGTGCACCTCGACGTCCACAACGATAAGCCTTGTGCTCTTAATTGACTTCTCTTGGTAATCCGATGCAAGTTCGCGAGTCGCCGCATTGTCCCCGTCACCGCTGATGCGGAGGATGACGGCAGCGACGTCAGCCGCCGGAGCCGCGGTATCGCCGTTTTCGACTCGCGGTATGACTGGGGGGAGGCTTGCGGGCACCTCGTGAACTTCCTCGAGGGGCTCGTATGTTCCGGCCCTTATAACCGAGGGACTGCGACTCGCGACGGCCCTGATGCTGCTCGAGGCCACGTAGCTTTCGGGCACCGAGCTCAGGAGGAGGGCGTGCTCGCTTACCTTGTTCAAGGCCTTGAGCATATTATCCGGCATGTGGTCCTGAATCATGACCGGGCTGATAAGGACCTCGTCGAAGTCGCAGGGACCGGCCCACAGCGCCTGGTACACCGGCTCCCTTTTCCTTAGCATTTGCCTGTGAATGCATTGCGTGCCATTGAATTGGATTTAATACGATAAGTAATAGGGTGTGACAATGGGCGATAAATAATGATAAGCACGAGGATTTTCTAGCTATTTGACAATTTTCCGATTTTAATGTACGGTGCGTCGACTGATTAGATAGCCGGGGCGAGTGTCAGCGATTAATATTCTTTGCTATATCATTGAATGTCGTTGCGAATTGAGCTTTACTGAATTGTTTAGTGATAATTATCCGTCATTACAAGTAGATATATGTCGTTCTTTGCTATCTTCTCCTTACGTGGAAATATTTTTTAGCTTTGTACGAATGAAGTAATTTTCAGCTTTATAGTTAGATTTAGTAATAAATAAGTAATAAAGAATAGTGATTTTACTTACCGAATCATTATACATTTCTTTATTAAAAGCTCGATAATGAAATGTCAAAAGCTGGAAATATTTAATTTACCAAATTGATATATGGGAATTATTATAAAATAGACAAAGATAAAACATTTTTTTTATGGAATATTTGACAAATATAATAGAAAAACATAAAGTTAAGGCTTAAAAGTTTTTCTACCAAAAGTAAATCATTTAATTATTTATTATAGCTACGTATGGGCATAAAAATATTTTATGCTTTCGCATAAATTTACAAAATTCAATAGCATTTTTCAAGTTTCAGTCTTTCTTCGCAGCTCAAATACTTTTCGTTCAACTCGATATATATAATATCTTAACTAGTTTAAGTACTGCTTTTTTTTCAACATTTTACTTTTATTTTTGAAAGTTCTTTCGTAAATTTCTGTTCTTTATCCAACACCCATTATTTATATTTATTCACATTCTTATGGCTTAGATAATTTTAATTTCATACTGTAATTTCAAATTATATTTCTATTGTGAATCTTTTAAGAAAGGAAAATTTTTTTTTTTTTTTATCTAAATTGTTGAAATTAGATAAAAGTTGAGAATTAAAAAATTAAATTAAAAAAGTAAATTTAAGAATTACAGTATTACATAATGTATATATGTTAAACGACGAAAAGCATGGAAAGGTACAATGCAACCTCTACTGATTAAAAAATCCTTAAAATTTATTATTCAATAAAAGAAAAAAAAAATTATTGTGATATCAAAGTCAAACCAATAATTTTTCATCAAATTGTAACAAAGATAAAATATTGATGTGTCCATTTATGCGAATAAACACGTTTATCGATTTATTATGTATATATATATATATATATATATATATATATATATATTCGATTTTGTAAAATATATGTAAGTAATGCATAACGTAATATACTAATATTAGTAGAGTTTAAAAAGTTTTTGTACTAAGTTAGAAAGTGTTGTAAAATTCTGATAATTATTATATAGTAATAGATTAGATAGTATATACGTATATATGTATACAAATATATCAGTTACTGGTAATAGAATTATTCGATTATTGTCATATTATCATAAAATTAGAATGAAACCTTTTGAAATCCTTTGAAAAATGCTATAAAATACTAAATGTTCTGATAAAGTTTTAATACCGAAAGCAATATCGTATTGAGTATTACAAACAAATATCTAAATGAACGATAAGCTCGAAATAATTGTAGTTACTCTAATGGTATATGTGCAAAATATTCTTTGAAGGCGAAATAAATAAAAAATTATATATTGATTATATTAAACAATTTTATTGGCCGTGTATAAATTTTCATTATATTTTAATAAAATGGTTTTTTTTTTTTTAATTTTTTTTTATCAACATACCTCCATTGTGTTTCGTACTTTTGCCTGTAAACGAAAAAGAAATGTATTATTCATATGCGCTTTATTCTTCCATAATTTAAGTATCTTTTCATCGTATTGCCATTATTAAATCAATGATTTAAATAATCAGATTAAATTTATTTGATTTTTACTAAATTAAAATAATTAAATTAAATAATTAGATTTTCACGACGAATGAAAATGTGTACGCTAATAGAATACGCTAAAGTGTTTTCGTTAAGAATAATGAAGGCATGAGCAAGGGACATGGGCTACTAATTTCTGATTTCAATATAATCCGACGTTGATATTATTATGAAAAGATATTTAAATTTTCATTCACGATGTTTATTTAGTACTGAGAAACTTGGTGTTAAAACGAGAAACTGATAGTAGATGGAATTTGGAAGTAACGGATACAAAATTTGTAAATGTCTAACAAGAATAAAGAAACTTTAAAATAAAATAATATAATGAAAATATATTCTTGCTCGGCTAAATTTTAGAAAGTTTTAAGAAATGTAGAAAGATATAGAATTCTATATAACTATAGGATGAAATAAACCGTCGTAAGAATAAACTTTGTTACAGGTCTGCGAAAGTTATATAATTCAAAGAATCTTTCATTGTTATTTAAATATATTTAACTTGAAAAGCTGCGTATGGTTATGCGATTCTCAGTTTTTGTAATAATAAATAGTTTTTCGTCTAGAACAGTTAAAATAGTTGTATTTTGTAACATGTTTAATATTTAATATTGTCTTGCAATATCGCTTTAACCATGTTATTAAAATTAAACAATTTCCGAGTCTTATGTAGATAAATAAAAAATTTTTTTTTGAATTTACGTAAATGTAAGTAACGCATGCCAAGAATTTTCAATAAAGTTGAAAATCTTGACACACTTCTAATATGTTAAATCCACTTTGTGCAATTTATTCTGACAAAATTAAAAACATAATTCCCAATGAATTTGACACGGAGTAACACGGAGAGGGTGCACATGCATTTTAATAGATCACTTAATTAATACTCCATATTGTATTGGTAAAGAACATTTCCCGTGATTAAGAAACCCAATTATATTTCGCATTCGCCTCATAGATATTAAAATATTATCGTACAAAGAAAGACCTCTAATAGGAGCTTTTTTTTCTTTCTTTTTTTATTAAGTATTGCCGATATTAATTATAGGAGTCAAAATATGGGAAGAAACAAAAATTGAAATTTTAATCGGCCATATCGAGCCGTCTAATCGCTAATCGACAGTTTTTATCAAGCGGCCACTGGAAATGCATAATCATTCGATTGAACTGGCCCGCGAGAAGTTGAAATTTTCATCGCACAAGTACGAAATTGAATTCACAACCGGCAACTCAATTCCTCCAATGGACCGCGGATGTCACTATTCTTAATTAACAATAGGAATCCTCGACTCGCAAGGCTCTCAAGGATACCTTAACGAGAAGCTTCGAGGAGTCGCGTATCTCGCAGTTGTTAATCATCACATTTCCCCCCTCCTCCAATCTACAGATATCGTTCTCAACTAACAGCAAACTTCTCAGTGGGCCTTGCGCCTCTAGGGATTGCCATTAGGCAAGAGATCGCGCAACCGAGCCGCGATCGTCTTGGTTTCGCCTGGAGCAGCGGATGCTCGAACACTCACTCGCCCTTGTTGGGATGGTGACGGACGACGTGTATGATGCGCCCGGGTGGGTAGAGCGGCCTGTGGAGGGTGAGAGCGATGCTCGAGTCCGAGGGGACGACGGCCTCGGAGCGAGCCAGGTCCTTGTCTCGCTGGTACTCGCTTATACAACCGCCGGCCTCGAGGTTGGCCGCCGAGGTCGGTGTCGAGCCACATCCGCAGCACATCACCGAGCAGGCTATCGTCTTCCACTGTAACAGGCCAAAGTGGTTTTAGACGGGAGAGGGAGGGAGGGTGTGTGTGTGTGTGTAAGCCTTGCAGCTTTGCAGTCTTGCACTCTCGTTTGCCCTTTGAACGTCCCCTTTGAATGGGGAGACATTGGCCGTTGGTGACATTAGTACTTGGCCATAGGACTCTGGTCGCTCCAGCGGTTTTCCATTTGAGTAATCGTTCGGGGGAGTTCGGGGGAGCGCTGATGATAGCGGAGTTGTAAGGTGGTAACTTCTTTAAATAAGCTTCATATTTGCTGCGCAATCTCGTTGTGTATAATGGCGGATTCTGGGAATCGATTCGATAGTATTTTGGTACAGGTATTTTACGATTTTCAGCGATAAATTGTTTTTATTAGGAGCATGTGACTTGTGAATCATTGTTAAGCTTGTTAAGGTTGGTGGGTAAAGCAGAATGAAAGGTGTCTCGATTCATTGCATTCGAAGGAGCGAATGTCCTTTCCTTACTACACTTTTTCATTAGGAAGGGCTGTCCTTGAATTTATTGTACTTTAACGGAAATTCTGTACATTATAATTACTCATCTTTATAAAGCCAAGGCGAATTAGTGAATAATACGTGAAAGCCTTCGTTTCAATTCAAGCATAAAAATTACAATGTGAAATTTTCTATATTAATTTTTATGAAAGATGACGTTTATGTTCATATGAAGAAAGAGTTTGCATTTCTTTTGGAATTTGTTTATTTCGGCAGGTTTGATAAAATTTTATTAAGCTCTTAAGGTAAAAAGATTGAATTAATGTAAAGAAATGCGTTGAAATTCTTGAATTTTTTCCCCATAACCCGAAAAATTATTTATAAGATATTAAACCTTCTTTAATAAAACCTTTAATAAATTAATTCTTTAATAAAACTTTGGTTACTTAAAACTTGACGTATTCTTTAATTGAAGACAATTTTATAATTTAACTTTCAGTATAATGTCCTATTAAGATTGAAATAATGTATAAACAAAAACGACGTGAATAGAGAAGGGATTATTAATTTTTTAGAGTAAAATTTTTCAAAATTTTTCCAGCAAATACTGTAAAATTTCTTCATATGTTATTATCACCATCATCGTCGTCATCGTCATCATCATCATCATCATCATCATCATCATCATCATCATCATCATCATCATCATCATCATCATCATCATCATCATCATCATCATCATCATCATCATCATCATCATCATCATCATCATCATCATCATCATTATTATTATTATCATGCATTAAATAGAATAATCAGAGCTATTAATTTTATGTTTCCAATGTTGAAGCGAATTGTTTACGTGCCATATATATTTTCAATATTTTAAGTAAATATGAAAAGGTTATATTGAAGCAAATTTTACAATTATTGCTGCGAATAAACATTTTATTTTATATAATTGATACTGCTTGTATACTATTAGCAGAGATCAATTAGTCCCTTCTCCGATTAAATGAACTATTCGACATACGTGAAATGATTGTAAACGATATTTTATTTAATTTACAACAAAAACAAAGAAACAAAAAAAAAAAAATAAATAAAAAAAATATTTCATCCACATATGAGAATTATAAGTATTATTTTAGTGTTTTTAGTGTTACTATATTATTATAGGATTGTTCAACTGTTCCAAGTTAGCTGACATGCATAAATGTTTTGCAATTAAATAACATCTTATGTTTGACTTGAAAGTACGATATAAAATATCAAATTTTATTTGTACTCACTTTATTATTTATACTAGAATATTTTAATGTATTTAATATATTTAATATTTAATATGTTTAGTTAGCGTCGGGCATATTTTTATTTAGTAAGCTGCAATCTATTTTTTTTTTTATACGATGAATACATGTTATACAAAATAGTATTTTTATAGACACATTTAATTACCGTATTTAAATATTTGCACAAAATTCATTGTCATAAATCTTTATGATCTCTTGAATTCCAATCGATATTTTATTGTCGCCTGTATATTCGCGAGCAAAACGATCTCTTACCATTTCCTTGCAATATTCAATATTCACTATTTTTTATTATTTTCATTTGAATTATTTTCGTCACTCTTTTGCTGCCTTAAGCGCTGGCCGTATCGTATACTGTTTTTCCTTGAAATCAAAATAAATCCAAGAGCTCGAGTGAAAATGAATGACATATTGGAAAAATGCGAAAAGCAGAATTACCGTATGGTTAAATCGATGTGTCTATGTGCATAGCCGTTAAGCCGAAGCAAAATCATAAAAGCGAACGAGTTTCTGGAATATTGCATCATGAATTTTCGTATCGACGTAATGTCTCTATGCTTTACGATAACCTCCAATTGCATTGATATAGTTATTTAACCAACGTATTTGCGGGAAGTATATTTATTCTTTATCATACATTAAAATAACATGCAGTTTATATTTGTATTAGAGAGCAGCTTAAGATTTTATCGCTTATATGTTGTAGAGATAATAGGAGGGTTGAAACGTCGTGGGTCGCTTATAATACCAATGCCTTTAATAAGCGCAAGCATTTTTATGTTTGAGAAGAAAGAAGGAAAAGGAAAAGGACGTTTTACGACAGTTTTTAGTAATAATGTTTGCGACGAAAGGATCATCCGATATGGCGTAAAATATTATCGGTGATATTTCCGGCTGACGTTACGGTAGGTTGAGAATGCAAGTACTCTGGAGTGGCCGTAATGTCACGTAGACTCCTGGTTAGGTGATGGCTACGCCGACATACGATTATATTTACCTTAGGATCGACGCTCCTCTTGATAGCGTTGATGAGATCGGCCCTGAGGCTCTCCATTTGTCTGAGTCCTATTCTCGGCACGACGTCCTTGCCGATTACCACCGATGTAATGAACTCCTGGGTGTATTCTTGCGCGGGCATGCTCAGCAATCCACCCGGTGGCGCATAAGCGAAGCAAGTGAGATCCGGATACTCTTGTCTGAGGAGGATCGCTAGGATGGCCGCGGTTCCGGCGCCCAAGGAATGACCGACCAGCGTCAAACCAAACTCGTTTGTCCCACGCGACACGTCCTGACAAATTTACGTACTTTTATTAAATTACACTTATTACACTAATTGCCTTTTTTTCTCGCTCCGTTAAATAATTAGCGCTAACATTAATTAGAGGCTTGGCGATTTGAGGGCACGACGTTTAACTTTTTTTTTTAACTTTTTCAAAGATGACGTGTTCAAGGGGTTTCGGTGGTTTCGTGACATCGAAATATTTATTGATTTTCTAGGAAATTTGCCGATGAATTTCACTTTAACCAAAAATAATTTACAGAGACTTTCTCGTTTTATTACAGCGGATTAGTGGATTAATGTGTAAGTTTGTTTTGAGATTGATAAAAACGGCAACGCAATATCGTTTCCGAGTTTCGGAAAATACGAATAAGGAAACAAATAAATCGGTTATGGTCGAAAGGTGCCGCGGTGATAATGAATCCGTGCTATTTCTGTGGATTATGGAGAATTTGGCACGTTGCGATAGTTTTAAAAATTGTAATTCTTTCATATTGTATATATATATATATATATATATATATATTTTTTTTTTTTTTTTTTTTTTTTTTTTTTTTGAAACGGTAAAATTTAAAAATATTATTTTACACGAATAGAAGCGAATTCGTCATTTTAGCAGGGCACTGACTTTTAAAAATAGAAAGTTCTGCAGAAATAGGATCTCAAGTGCTTGAAAAAGATGAGTTTTCTTTTAAAATACGTAGCTGTTATTTTTTCGGTTAACATACCAGTTGGCTGACTACTCTACTCATATTTTTATAATGTGAAACAACTTGTCGGAAGAACATTTCTATGAGTCCACAAGTTTTTTAATCACGAAAAAATTTTCAAACGATTGGTACGAATAAATAAAGAAAATCCTGATGATTTATAAATGCAAAAAAGCCAATAGTACATAAATACTTATGTGCATTAGCAATTACATTAACAGACTAGATTGGTTAATTTTTCTAAAATTACTTTGATTGAAATAATAATCTTTACACGCATGGAAAAAGATTTTAAATAATGACTAAATTTCAATTTAATGTTGCTTAATTAGTGGCAGATATTTAGCAAAAAATCAATCTATAATATATTTCACAGTCGAATTTTACCAATACTTTGTTGACAATAGATGCTTTAATACTCTAGAAGCGACTTATTCGGTACATTATCGTTACGAGAATGCGTAAATTTTTTTTATGAAAAACGGAGACGCGCACTAAAGTAAATGGACATTGAAACGCTCGTTGGGGCGTGGATTGTTCAACATTTACTTACTTGGTACTTCATTCCCTTGCATTTAACAATCCGCCTTATAACGATAAAGCTAACGTGATTAATAATGTGAATTGGCAATTAATAAGCACATGCAGTGTCTTTATAATATGAGAATCGTCGTAGTAATGCCTTTATTGCTTTAAAAAAAAAAAAAAAAAAAAAAAAAAACTTGGGTTCACCGTACTTTTTTTTTACGGGACAAAAGTAAAAATGGAGTTAATTACCTTCTCTAAAGCCTTGGCAATTATTCCCTCCTCGTAGAGCTTCTTCCTGATATATTCGGCTGCCTGCACCATTCCCTTGTGACCGAGCCAGTCATCCCGAGGTGGTGAAAGTGGCAGTACCTCACCCTCCGCATTCAAATCTGTCATCACATCCTTCATACTGAGTGTGCCGCGTATACTCACAACCACCTGCAGACAAAAGCCATTACATCGACCGACCAAGAGTTTGAATAAGATACGGGAACTATATCTGGGAGTTTGTCAATGGGAGTGGGGGGGGGGGAGCATGCCGAATTAGGGTGATCGTGCAAACTCATTTGGATGAGAAGCTCAAGGCACACGAGACGACGTCTCGTAGAATTTTCATTGTCATTCGGAAATTTGGCTGTCGTGTGCAACTCGTCGCTGAAAGGCTGCCGAGTCACGTCGGTAACGCGCTAAGTATTAAATGCTCGATAAAATTCAATCTACGATTATGAATTATTGATCATTATATTAAGTTAATTATAAGAAACGCGGAATATCGCGTTTACCTTTCTCTTCGTGTAGTCGAGGGCTACGAAGAATGGGGTCTCACCGACGTCGACGTGGAATGTCGCATAAACCACCTCGACCTCGCCGACCTCTACCATACGTCGCAGTGCTGCATAATTGCATTGGCAGCAATTATCCTCGACAATGATAGCATCGTCTTTATAATGTGTGCACGGGAAGCAGCAGCACCTTAACCTGAACAGCAACATGTAATTGTGTTGTTAATCATAGAAAGTCCATTAGGTATTGTGTAATAGTGGAATTATTACTTTGTATTGTTTATAATGTCAACTCTTTCTGTAAATGATAAATTTGCCAACGTTAAACACTTATTTTTATTTTCAATGTAAATCCACGAATTTGTTGAAACATGCTGCTAGGGTTTCAATTTTCTATTTGTCATCGGTAATTTTCGAATGCACGTATAGCAAATTATTTTATTCGCCCAAGCGCTCTCATCTAATATTTGTTATTTCAGCATTTTTCAAACAAAGTTTTATACAGTCGGTGAAATGTTTTACAATGCGTTTTATATTCCTATTATAAATTTTTAACGCAAGATATTTATAAAAATACTAAATCACATGGTAAATGCGCGGCCCATAAATTTATAGATATTTATGAATTTGTAAGTTAGATGGAACTTTGGATAGTACGTAGAAAACTTTTCATAATGTATGAGATTTAAAATTTAAATAAAAATTCTTCAAAATTAATGAGAAATTTTAGTCTCACTTAATTAAGATTTTTGATTTTGCTGTTTATTGAAAACATCAATTAGCAACTACTTTGGTATAATTGTCGTTATCGTAATAGAAACATGAAAGACAAAGCTAATCGTAAGCATTAAAAAATAAAGCTTGTAAGTTTTTTTCTTGTTCTCGTTTGCATTACAGGTAGCATCAACATTCTAAAATGCAATAACTTGAGTTATAATGATATTTTTGTGCATAAGGCATTGTTCCTTGATATAATATTTCGTGTATTTTTTTTTAAGCCTTCCATTACTTATTTTAATCGATAAAAAGGAGGAAAGTGCTATAGTATTTAAGAATTTCATGTCTCGTGCCACCTTTACTCTGTATTTTTGTTTTATACACGCCACAGACAATGGGAGAATCCATCTGTTTATTCAAAGCAAATCATCGATTATTCCAGAATCAATAATAATTAATATTGATTTTACGATAAGTGAGATGAGATCGATAAGCCTAAAAAGCCTAAAGTAAGAAATTGAAATTATACGATTTTCAATGGAATTATTATAAATGGGAGAGCGACGCATCGCGCATTTTCCAGAATCACCGCGACCCATTTGTATATTTGGAATGGAATATCGCGTGGCAGTGCGGATGCGGTGCGGATCGCATAATAGACTGGGCGGTTACGCAGCCGAGCCTCATTTATAAATCCGGACAATGTTATTACCTGGTACACAGGTCGCAGAGCCCCGTTGAGTGATGGACGAGGAACAGCGGCCAGCCATAAGCCGCTAAAGCAAAGTGCATGTAGTGTATGGCGGACTGGAAGTGGCCAAGATCGCCGTCCTCGGTCAGGGATAGGAACTTGGTGCGTGGTGTCACCGGCACCCCGGAGAGAAATTCGTAAGTGTCGTTCTTACGCTGCTTGACGATGAGCTCGCGTTCGATCTTTTGGAACTTGCGCAGCAGAACGAGGCCCGCGACGACGTCCGACGGTACTACGTCCAGGTCACGAAAAAAGTCGCTCAGCAGCCGCGCTATGTCGGCAAAGGAATTCTGAAAAGAAAAAGTGCCAAGTTTCGGAGAAGCTTCTTTAGTGCGGGATTAATGAATATCGAGAGTGTCTTTGGGGGATGCTGGACTTTCACCGTTTTATAATGTTTCAAATGGACAATAAGAAAGGGGCAAAAACGATCATGATTATAGTGAGTTTAGTATATGTTTTATTAGTGTGACTGGATTGTGAAAGAAAATTTTGTGAATTGCAGCTAGTGATAAATGGATATTGGATATTTCAATCTTTAAGCTAAAGTCGTGTTTCAAGTTAAAATACTACATGCCAACTATGCAACGAGACATTAAAAAATCATCGGGTAATTTCAAGCACAATTTCAAGTTTCGAAATTATCTATGTGTGTAAATCTGCATAAGTGTACATAACTTACTCTATTTCTATCAGACTTGCCAATGCAGCAGAAAAGAATTCTGCATCTATTGTCCCAACTATCTTGATAGGCTCGTATTACTTTTCTGAAAATATTATTTACACAGAGAATAAGTTGACACATTAATTATCGCTCATCATATATTTCATTATTGCACATTAGCCTTCTCCTGAATAATTATTAGATTTATCAATGCTTAAAATTGGACTCTTTAGACATATTGATATTAACAATTAAAATAATGCATTCTACCATTCAATACATATTTCGTAAAAAATTCTCATCCCAAGTTAGTATTTCATGAAAATATGATATTACAATTCTTTTATTAAAAATGAAATGTACCGAGCATTATAGATATCGTCATATTTTCAAAATAACATTATGTATTCAAAGTAACATTTGCAATTCAATAAATTATTAATTCTTATACATACCTAGCCTCATATAACTTAAATCATTGTAAATTTTAGCTCAATTGTAATATTTTCGGCAATTAATTCGTTCGTATAACATATATTAAGACAAGTCATATCTACGAAATTTAACAAAAGAAAAAAAAAAAAAAAAAAAAAGAAAAATTAATTTATCACGTGTTTGATAAAATTTTATTTTTAATAATTAGTAAATACATTGAATATCAATAGAATATTTTTACAACTGCTTAGTCTAATTTTTAACACAATTATAAATAATTACACTTGCAAATTGAAAGATTTCATGATCTTCTATAATTTAAATTAACAATTATTTTTTAAAAACAGCAATATCAATATAATAAAGAAATATTAGTCATTCTTTTAAATAAAATTCTTTTAATATTTGCTATTCATAATTTACAATAATTTACAATAATTCATTTAATAGTTTAATTTTTTAAAATATGATATATCCTTAGTTTCCTTTACTTTAAAAAACATTCTAAATATATATTTTAAAATCTTTAACTTTTTTTTTTTTTTTTTCATTCTGAACATTATAATAATAAAAAATTCAACGAATTTATAAATTAGAGAATTGTATTATCTTACCAATTTGCTATTGTCAAAATACTTAAAGTATTAATGATTTTATTATTTGATTAATTAAAAGATAAAGTAGTCATTTATTATTGTATAATACTTATTATGTCTCATATTTAATACTTATATTTTCTAATTTTCTCTTATGGAATTGTTCTTATAATTTTGTAAGACTAAATTATTGTATAGAAATAATATTGTAGTCACAGAGGGATGGCTTTTTGCACCTTTCCAATTTCGTACTACCTATTATTTCCTAAATTATTATTATTCTACGTATAATAAAATGTAACATAATGCATTAGATCATTTTCTTACCAATATACATACTTTTATGGGCATATGGTTGCGAGAATAATTAGAAGTTTTAACTATATTATCTCCAATATATTATAACGGCTTTAAGGCCCAAACAATGGCGAATTTCTATTTGACTAATAGTCACCAATACAGGATTATCATACTTACTTTAGATTTGAATTATTGAATTATTATATACTTTTTCCCATTTTCGGGATCATATTTATCATTCATTTGTTATTCATATTTATAAACCAAAAATTCACAAGTTAGATAATCCGAGCGAATGTATGTCTTCTTTGTGTGAAAATCATTTAACACACACCGCATTAATGTATATATGTACATATTTATAGTCGCTATTCATTTAATTCAAATGTGGTTTCGGCATGTAAATCTAATACAATGTTAAATATTTTTTACTTATACCTTATTCATATTTTACTTTTTTCAATATTATACTATAATAAATAAAAATTTGTACTACGGCAGTTAAAAAATTGTTTCTTTTTTTTTAATTATAGGCTAAATGCAAAAAATATGAAATTAAATATTTTCATTGGAACAATTAAAATTATTTGTTTTTATATCCTCTCAAGTTTTATCGTCCTTTTAAAGTGATTTTTTTTTTTTTTTTTTTTTTTTTTTTTTTTTTTTAGTGAAGACAATGCATTATGCAGTTCTCATAATATGAATTGCATTGCTCATATTCATAGCAAATACATATTTTTTATGCCAAAGAAATTTAATTATTTTATTGTAATAATTATTTTCCAGATAAACTAAAAAGTTTTAGTTTTTTTTTAAATATAACACCCGAAACAGTTGAGCATCGCTCGATAAAATCGCAGCAGATTATTTCTACAAATATTCTAAAAAAAATTCTAAAAAAAAATTCTGAGAATTTATCTTACAGAAATTCTATAGAATAAACGAATAATATGAATGTTGGAGTAATATATATTTATAACAATATTAATATGAATATGAAAGTAATAATTTATAGCTTAAGCTATAAATTCATTGATTTTATTATATTATAAAGAGTAGAGATGTTTTGTTTTACAAAGAAATATGAATTTCCTCTAAATATCTTTTACGTAAGTCCATAAAGAGATAATAAGATGTCTGTGTCATTATTACCTTTTAAAGTTATAATTTGAATGTATTATATTAGAATTTGGTATGCATGCTCGTGCACCTATACGTGTGCATGTAAACTATTGACTTGACAAATATGCTTTCAAATTTCATCTTATGCACGTTCGAACACGCAGACGCGTGTTTATAAATAAATGAAAAATATATAAATAACATATATAACAATAAGATAAGTTAACTGAAACGTGGATTAAAATATTAAAGTGTTGCAACAAAGAATATACCGTTGCCGCCAGTTTCGATTTCTGCTCCCACTTCGCTTATAGTGCATTCGGCCACCCCGAGACTCGGCCTCGCGCATGCTGCGTTGGTACTTCTTCATCTTCACCCAGGACCTGCCCGCTGCATCGTAAACACACCAAACTGTCACCGTTATTGATGCCAATACGCACCAGTTAGATATTACCAAACCTAAAAAAAAAAAGCGAGAGCCCAGTAGTGTCAGTGATGGATTGCGAATTACAAGGGAGCCTTAATATATCAATTATATCAAATTCCATTAATAGATCAATATTAATACTTTTTACTTTTGCCTCGATCGGAATTTAACTCGCAAGTGCTTCGAATTTATTGATATTGTTCGTATTTATTTAGGTAGTGCATTTTCACCACGCTAAAATAAAATTTTTAACATTATTATAAAACAAAATGTAAAAAATATTTATAGATTGTTAATGGGGCTTTTATATTGAACGATCTATAGAAGATGTTCCCAAAGAATTGGAATCCATACAAGATTAATTTAATCTTCATGCCATCGTATAGATAATGGAAATACATGCTTTTATAAATTATTCATAATATTACAAATTACTTACTATAGATATTACTGTAATTAATTAAATAATTAATTAAATTGTAGATTAATGTATTTAATCTTTGTAAATACAATATAGAAATATCAATCAATCCATTATAATTAATTTGCCTTTGTTTAATTATTCTACGTTACATTTAGATTGTATATGAATATGGAAGAATCTCAACAATAAATGAATAATCATTTTTTGTAAATAATTTTGCTCGATAGTTGATGTGAAAAAAAAGCAATTTAATATATGTGTGTGTGTGTGTGGTGTGTGTGTGTGTGTGTGCGCGCGCGCGCGCGCGCGTGTTTATAATTACTTTAAATGTAATTTTACTATATTATAAAATAGCGAATTTAAATTTACTTTCAATATTAAATTTTCGTCCAATTATAAATGATATATATATATAAACGAAATATTCTATACTTTTAATCATTGAGAAGAATGTGAGAAGCATCGACAAAGCCAGAATGTTTAATTTTCTCTAAGAGACTGAATTTCTTTGTTAAAGGATGAACGAATTATTTATGAAATATATAATTACCGAGTAATAAACAATACGTTCGTATAATTAATAATAATTTTCATTAATTCAATTGACAGGAATGGGTAATTTAATCGAAATTTCCATTTACTCCTGAGTTGATTATTTATCAACAGTAAGGTCATGTGTATTTTTCTAAGGTTTATTAGCGTTTACTAACATCCTAAATCATTGAAAATCAACAGGAGCACCGATGCTTTCTTTATATTCGCACATTAACCCACAATTTTATATGACTCTTTATACATTCATTTAAGGTTTAGTCAAAAGATAATATTTATGCATCTATATTCGTTTATTGTTAAAAATAGTTTCGCCGTATGCTTATGACCTTGGTTTTAGACAAATTTCAGCAGTAACGATAAAAGATTTTTTTTTTTTTTTTTTTTTTTTTTTTTTTTTTTTTTTTTTTTTTAATACTTATTTATACTAACGATAATAATAGTTTTGGAGAGCATTAAAAGCAATATTATAAACTTAGTCTGTCAGTAGTAATCAATAATGTATATTGTTTAATACGAGAAACATAATGTAGTATGTGTCTAATTATACTATGATTTACGTTTGCTTTAGACTTTATGGACTGGAGAAATTCCTTAAAATCGTGCCAATTGAAGCAGAGTAGGAAGGCACGATGTCGATTAGTAAAATTTCAGCTTATAATACATTGTACGACAGTATCTTTAAAATTATTAATCCTAACATTGATTATTTGATAAGATTTTCCAATGAATTAAGCATACAGGAAGATAAGGAGCTTAAATATTTGAAATTAGATTAAATAGATGAAAGTTTTGCTTTAGTGTTTATTATGATTAAATGTTAAATCTCGATTAGTAATAAATTTGTTCTTCATCAATGTTATAAAAATTATTCTTACATAGAAAGTTTATACTGCATTTGATAAATCAGAAAACAAAATAAAAAATAGAAAAGAGAAAAAAGAGAATAGAAAAATCTAAAATGCCTTGCATTTGAAGCAGTGATAAACTTAATTTATTTCTTATTTAAATTCACAATTCACTATCAGATAAAAAACTTAAGATTCTTAAATTTATTGGTATTCAGGAAAATCGAACAGAGTTATGTTTGAATTCTTTGTTTGTCGGTTCTATGAAATATCAATTGAATAAAAGAGGTTATCTGCAAGGCAAAAGTCATCCTATCAGATTGTAAAACCATGTATTCGCTCCTGAATACCTTACCGCCGGAATATATAGAAAATGCGGAAACCCGTATTGACCGCCGCTTTGGAAGAGAGCGAGGAAACAAAGGAAAATTGTCCCAATAGATTTCAAAAGCTTACCGAAGTCTACTCGTATGCAGCTTCATGAGAATTATTCAATATCTTCGATACTTTTGGCCTGTTCTCCCATCTCTTAAACCATTATAGCATTACATATAATTTAATATCAATTTGACTCAGGCATATGTTACTTTAAGATACTTTACGTCCACGATATCTCTAGTATATTTCAATATATGTGTGAATATGTGTAATTTATTATTAAATATTTATTATTAGTATTTGATATATATATATATATATATATATGTCGGTAATATAAAATTTTTTGTAATAATTCTTCATACGGCAGATTTATTATTCACTGGCGTATGTCATTTACAGCGTAATATATTTTTATTTAATGATACTATTGAAAGTAATAATTTTTAAGATTTTACACCATTATATATTAAGAAATATACATTTATAGAAAACAAAACAAACAAGTAATTATTATTTTATAGTATGCGTATATTATAATAGAGAATTTATATTATCTTTTGAAAATGAGGAACTTTAATATATAAATTAAAGTAATTATTTTTACATCGGTAAATTTAAACATTTTTATACTATTAATTACGAGTCCTATTTGATTGCCCTTTTAATTTTATTTCTTAACTAAATTACATCGAAAAATTTGTTTATTTCTTTTTAGTTACAGTATTATTATTTCTCCAACATGCACCTTTTATATATATAAATTATACTGAATTTATTATTATACCCTTGTTAGATTAAAATATACTTTGCTGCATAAATAATTGTATAACAATCTTATTAATTAGGCATTTGTTGTAGCGACTCGATATTGAAATCTACGTATTGTCACGTGACATTGTAATAGGCTTTATTGCCTAAGTATACGAAGTTATAAGTACGAAGCTCACAGGATTATAGATGCAATTTGTCTATTTATTTAGACCTTCGAATAATTGCATTGATACAACCATAACTTGTACATAGCAAAGTCAATAAAATCTTTAACGTTAGAACCGTTTTTAACAAAGATTTAACTTTTTTTTTATCTTAATGTCATTTGTTTCACATTTGGCAGATATTTTTGTAAATAATTGAAAAATATGATTGATTCACGATTGCATAGCATCCAACTCATATTTCTAAATACTCGTATTCAATAATCTTAACGTAACATACTTTTGAATTTAATTCTCTTTGATTGCGTACTTTAAATAATCAATAATTTATGTTTATATTACATTTTTTATTCTCCATTATTGTTTTATATCAAAATTATATATATATATATATATATATATATATATATTGAATAACAACTTAAAACAATTGCCTTTTTCTTGAGTAGATTACGATAAAATAATTTTTATCGTAACAGATTTTAATTAATCTTATTATTAAATTGAAATTATCAGATTTATAATTTTATATATCTGATATTTATTTACGAATCAAGAAATTTAAAAATATTACACATAAATTGTATATTTTTATAATAAGCGTGGAAAATGTATGTACGGACGAATAATATTCTTCGAAAATTTTATATTTTTTATTAAATTAAGACACGATGCTGTTATATTCTAATAGATGAATTTTTTGTATAGAAATAAAATAATATTTTATTATAATGAAATAATAAATAATTTGTTATTCAGATAAATTATGTATAAATTAGTTTTTAATATTCATAACCATATATGAATTGAAAAAGATTTTTAAATAAATTTTTTTTGAATAAATTATTTTTCCTAATTTTGGGTTAACAAAAATAGAACGTAAGGATTTCCAATCATATATATCTAATTCTTACAGAAATGATTATTGGATAATCAAAATATACCACATTTTCGTATATGAATTTAGTTAATTGAACATACTTAACATAACATCCTTCGCCTGATCTACAGGGCACGTTTGATAAAATCTTGTTAACCATGTAACTCCAGCACTTAGCCATACCGCTTCCACGAATAATAAGACTGCAAAAAAAGAGCAAAACAAAATTATTATTTAACAATTGACTTACGACGAAACAGACAATTAAAACATGTAATTGCAGAAATAAAAATATTACTAAAATATTTTAATTGCTCATCTTTGAATTTAAATATTGAAAGTTTATATTGATATATCAAATAGTAACGGAATGTAATAGAAATATCATATAAATAAAATAGATATTTGTAAATATTTTATTAATTTATAGTAGTATTCAAATGTCAGTAAATTTATTTTAACGATTTTAAACCATTTCATTCAAGTCTTTAATTAAAATAATAAAATCATAAATATCATCTTACATTTTATCTTTGTAATATCATTGTAAGAATTTTGCAGTCTATATATTTTGAATGTAAATTATGGAAAAAACATAAAATAAATAAATAAAAAATTAATTAACAAAATACAATAATTTATTATTACGCATTATTAATATTGAAATACCAAACAAAAATAATTAGAGAATTAAAAGTAACGTACAATCGTGCACATAAATTAAGTTGCATTATTGTAACAAAGGCTTAAGGCTTTTATTCAAATTTATGTATTCCGTTAATTTTAATTTTTAAATATTTTTTTGTGCAATTCATGAGTTCACGTACTTACACATGCAACTTAAATGTGTTTACATAAGAATTTTTTGCTCATGAATTAATACTCCTTTTATTCACGTCATTATATATATATATATATATATATATATATATATATATATATATAAATATATATATGTATAAGCATGTAATTTTCGTAAGAAGTAAAATGCTAGGAAATTATTCTTTATTACATTAATACAAGAACTACATTTAAAAAATTTATATAACGAAATTCTCCTTTACTATGAAATTTTTTTATATTAAATTTATTTAAAAATTGATGAAACACAATGTATTGGCGAAGGAAAAATTATTTTACGTGTCAATTTTTTTATTGCAATTAATTAACAGATAGTAATTAAAAATTGAAGAATGGTACTACTTATATATATATATATATATATATATATATATGTGTGTGTGTGTGGTGTGTGTGTGTAGTTTTCAATTAAACTAAATAATCCTTGGAAGCTTAAGTCTATAATGGAAATTTATTATTATCAAAGTGCCATTGCTAATCTGCAACCAAATGTACATTTTAGTACACATTTCATTAATATTGAATATTTGTTGCATAAGATACAGTTTATACAATTCGATTAGAAATTATGAATCTTCTGATTTGATAATACTAATTTATTATTATAAGTAATGTAAAATTGAATAAATTTTAATCGATTTTCGTTATTACGTTTTTCAAAATAAATAATTTATAAGTAATATAATTTAATTGAAAATATCGTTTAAGAACTCTATTAATTTAAAAATTGACTGTATTATCTATCGAGAGAGTATGTGCCTATGCCCAAAAATTATGACCAAGTTAACGATTTCTGTAAATTTTATTATTATAGTATCGCGCGTAAATAAATTTTTTTTCTATTTTTAATAATAGGTGCAAAAAAAATTTCAAAATCGTATTTTTATTTTTATCACTATAATTCTATTAAAAATTGACATACTTTTATGATATTATGTTATTATGTTGACAAGTTGGCCATATTGAAAACATGTAGCTTTAATTATCAATTATTCAAAGACTTTAGTATATAAATAAATATAATTGATAACCTTATACACAATATAAATATAAATTATTTCATTTTATATCAGAAAAATCGGATATTTAAAAAATTTTCAATTTTTTTTTCATTGTTTTCAAAATAATTTTATTTTGAATAATTATTTATAATAAATTATAATATAAAATTATAAACAAGGATTTATTAAGTATTACATAGTGTTCATTTTAATCCATAATTTATTTTGTGAATATTAATAATTATTAGCATATAAGCTGTGCATGTTAAAGAAAGAATAATAATCAATAATGGATTTAGTTTAAATATTTTATTATAAACTTCATTACATAGCTTTTTTTAAAGTAAGATTGATCAGCTATTAGAATGTCAATGAATATGATTGAATTTTATAAATATTAATACTTAACGACTGCTTAGGATTATGAATATGTGATAGGAAGAAAAATTGAAAGATAGATAATTTGTATTCAATGCAAATCCCTGCAATTATAATCGCTTATATTAGCTATTGAGCTTTCTAAAATAATTTTTAATTGTTCAATATGTTAAAAGAATGAGATGTAATTGTCAATTTTTTATTATTTTTTTTAATTGTGATTATCACACTTATAGGTTTAACAATAATGCAAATAATTCTATAGTATTTCATTGAATTATTGCAATGTTGCATTTTTTATATTTATATTTTGTCGTAAAAATTAAAACGCTTTTATAAAATTTTAGAATACGGAAGATATATAAAACTAAAATGTTTGTAGGTTCTGTTATAACACGTCTTATAAAGTATCATATTTTTATATGTTTAATAAAATATCTTATTTCTTTTATGTATCAATAATCGTTCTCTACTTTATTTCTACATACTTTTTCTTAACAAGTGAAATTTTACTATTTATCGAATTATGCTTGGCATAAAGATTTATGATGATGAAATTGATTTGGTTAATATACGAAAACTTTTTTTATAAAACATTAATTTAAATTCTCTTTCAGTAGAATTTTATAACTTAAGTAGTAAAATAAATTTGGTATTTTTACCAAATTTCATCTTTTTCATAAAATAAATTTTATTTTTCATAAATATGTTTTATTTAATTTATATAAAATACATGACTATTCGTAGTATTATTGTAATGTTATTTTAATTTATAATTCCAAATTGTAAACGTTCTTCTATCATTATTTATACTTGTATTTGTGTATCTTATTAGGGTAGTGTAATTATCATAAAAATTTAGTCTTATTATCATAAAAATCTTAAATATTATTATGTGGTAAGATGCATGAAAAAGGAAATAATGAATTTATCACAGTATATTTTTCAAATTTACAATAAGATAAGAAAAATACATACGTTCTAACATAACTTGAGTAATAAAAACGATATTGTATGCGTGCATTTTACATGCAGAAATTTATATTAGATAATAAGGTCATTTTCAGATAAAGCTTTATACAATAGAATACAGTTTTTAATTAACTATTGATGTAAAGTGTTGTTAGTGAAATCGTAAATTTCTATTAGTTTTCAATAGTAATTGAGTAAGAAATGGATTAGTATTCAATTGCGATCATTGGATGCAATAAATTTTCTTTCTACTGAAATAATAATAACAACAACAACGACGACAACAACGACGACGACGACGACGATGACGACGACGACGACGACGACAACAACAACAACAACAACAACAATAATAACAAAGAAAAAAAAGAAAAAAGTCAGAAGACAGATATTAATAAAAGTTGTACGAATAAATATGATGTCGGTAAAAATATTGATAAATACAGGAATGGAGTTTACATAATAAAGTTCAAATAAATTATGGTTTCATGAGGATTTTCAATAATGATAATACAATAATACTATATGAAATTAAAAAATAAATATAAAAATCCAAATATGAAATAATCATGTAAATAAAATACGGTAAATCATGGATACAACAAAATTATAATAAAATTATTATTTAGCAAAAGGCAGGATAGGAGGTAAAATTTTATTTCAGATAAAATTTGCAAAGACTAATTACGTATTTAACTAGAGAATTATTACAATAGATTCGAATGAAATTCAATGAATATTATAAAAAATTATTGATTACAGAGTTTTTTACTATTTTTTTATTTATTTTTTTATTTTTTTTTTTTTAATGAACTCAAATTCTATCGCATAAAATTCGTAATAGTGAATTAAATTTATTTATTCACACATTTTAATTTTAATTAATAGTAAATAGTATTCGATTTAAAAATTTGTATGTATTATAGAATAAATATTAGAATAACAAAGGTAAAGATAATAAATTATCAATGAAGTAGTTAAAAATATGCTCAAGTAAATCGAGTTCCTTATAAATAAATTTCTTTTTAAGAATTGCGAGACAAAAGTTACATATTGCCCAAGCAAAACATTTGAAATTAACTCTTTATATTTGACTAATTTTGTTAATATACATAAATGTAATTTTTATCGTTACAGAATTATTAGCACAAAAGAAAAAGTAATGATATGTCCAATATTTTCAATAATCTACATTACATGAATTTTGACGTAATTCCGGAAAAAAATTTTCATTTCATTTAGCTAAATAAATTCTTAAGTTCCAATGGAGTAGCGTAATTATTATTGATACAGTTTTAATATACACAGAAGAATATATTAATATAAAATGTATGATAGCTTCCATTTTACCTCTGAGTAGATCGATATGTTAGTTCAAGAATATACATTTAATGGATAACCCGTTGAACATTTATAGAAAAATGTATGCAAAATATGCTGTACATTTTATAATGTTTATTATCAATTGTGAAGGTTGAGAAGTCAATTGAAAAGTTTAACGAAAAAGTAATGAGAATCAAATGAAATGATTGAATAATTTCCTTTTACATTATTAATGGATTATGCAACAATAACAATTTTCAATTTACTGTATATTAAGTAATTATACTAATTATACTCATTAGGCATATTGCTCTTCTTGGATTCTCATGGGAATACAATGGATCAAAGAAAGATGAAATTTATAATGTTTTTTTTAAAGATTTGTAAAAAAAAACTATCTATTGAATACCAAAAATTAGCATTTCACTATGTACTATTCAGGTGTCTTCTCCCCCTCTTTTTCACGAACCCCGAGCTTACACGTCTTATTTAAAAAGTATTCTATATTGTTGTAAAACGTAATTGCATGACTGTAAAGTGATCGACAGTAATACACCAGATATTCCGATCACGTATAGATTATCTTTTTTTATTTATTCCAAATGCTAATCAAAACCTCATTTTAATGTAATAATTTTCTACGTGTTTTAATATTGACTTGGTAGTTAGTTTCTCGGAGTAAGAGTAAGAGTATGAGATCGATAAAAGTCACACGTATAGATTACAATATCTCTGAATAATGCAAATGGGTGGTGATTAGTAAGGTGGTGAATAGCAGGTATTAGTAAATTTTGAAATTCTTGGTCTCCAATACAACTGTAATTTTCGATATTCGTCCAATCCCCGTTCGCAAAGATGCTATATACATGGAATGGGGTAAATCAATACCAACTCACAAAGCCGTATATACAGCAGGTACTGCATAGGTGCACGTGCGGCAATGTCGAGGATGCTACCGCGAGTTGCCAGCAAACACATGGAGAACTCAACAGCCATCACCGAGACGAAGATGGCAAGGTAGCCGAGGATGTACTCCCATAGCAGAAGGACGCACTTGATAGTTCCGTCCCACTCAAGGATATACAGGAAGACGCCCAATACTATGACCCTGCAAAGAAGATAATTTGGCGATTATTAGACTATTGCGGGATTACGCAAAGATATCTGAGAGATTTTCATAGCTTTCGATTAAGCATTCGCCAACGAAAAGATACAATTCAGGACCAATGTGTTTATTTATTATTTTTGGACGAGCTTTTTGCTTTACTGACTTCTTCTCCCTCTGTGTGTTTTTTTTAGACCCTTTAGATTAGACCCTTTCTTTTCAATGACAAATATTTTCACGACATTGAAAAGTCTTGAATCTTATGTCTTGAATGCAACTGCAGTGTTAAATAATCGACAGTTTTATATTAATGGCTATCAATTATCAAAATAACGTAATCTTAATGAAAATGTATTTTTACATAAGTTTCAATAGAGTTTGAATTGTTAATGTTCTAATCTATATATTTAAGCCAATAATATTTACGATTTTCAGTTTTATTAATGAACGAAGTACTTTCAATATAAAACTATTATAATTATGTATAAAGCAGAACTGTAAAATACTTAACTCAGTTTAGTTATAAAATTAAAATAATAATACATAAAATAGAGATGATAAAATTTTTGCAATTTTTAGAACAAAAAATTAGAGCGCATAATAAAAGTTTTTCATTCGATACGAGAGATGCGAGGATGTATAAGGAAAATAACTGAATACTACTCGGATATTTTATATTATTTAGACATATCTTTTTATATTTAATTAAATATATTTTCATGCTATACCTGAAAATAATTTTAATGTTCGTCTCTTTGTGTTATGCGTTTTATATATGTTAAAATTCTTTTATTTTTCAACTCTTCAGAGACTCGTCAATTTTCTCTTACTAACTAATATTTAAGAATTCAGAGATAATTTCATTTTGTTAATAAAATATAATACAGTGGTGGTTGTGTTTGTATTTTATTTTGTATTTTAAAATTTTGTTATCTGTAAAAACCATAGGTTCTTCGCAATATTACTTTGATATTGATATTTAATCATATATATTATAATATTTTTATGACTAGTTAGCTCAGCGAGTAACAATTGGAAGGAAATATTAGAACGTTAATTATTTGAATTTTTGAATATTTTCCAAAATTTAATGA